TTGTGCTTTATTTAATGATATTTTATTAAAATAAAATACGCGAAGCATTAAATTGGAGATATACAATAACAAGTTATTTTAAATATAATAATTAAATAGAGCATAAAACTTAAGTTATGCCAATACTGTTTAATGTATATATTAGGATAATATAATAAGAAAATGATTTATTTTTACTTGTGTAATGAAAAATAAAATTTAAAAATTTGCCTGTAAATAAACGAAACCATAAATTAACATTAAAATTACCACATCGAATTAACACGCAATTTTAGCGATTTGAACATTTTTATGTACATATTTTCTTGCAAGTTGATGTTCGAAAACATTATTTAACTAAAATGTTTTAGCTTTATATATTATTTCATTTCAATGAAACATTAACATTTATAAGAATCATGACTGATGTTTTAAAGCTGTATTTTTCAAAATCGCTTACGTATGTCCGTTCTCTGCTTTCATGTTTCGACATAAGTCTAGACGACGAAGAATGGCGATAAATGTAATAATTGTTTACAATATGGGTATAATTATCGATTATCGATTTACAATAATGATAATAATAAAATTGAAAAAAAAAAAATAATAATAAATAAATAAATAATAAAAAAAAATAATAATAATAAAATAGTGACGATATTGCGTATGTGTATAATTTAATCTGTGAAAAAGTGTGCCTGGGTGAATGCGTGAGCGAAATGAAAGAGGAAAGAGAAAATAAAGCTTGTTAAATGGGTGCATATACTTGTAGATAAATGTAAACGACGGCGACAATTTCATTGTTTAGTGCACCGCATGCAAAAATTAGCGACTACTGCACTGATACTATGAAAAACAAAGTAATAAGTAAAAAATGTTCTCTTGCTTCGAATGAACATTCGAGTGTCGAGTCTTTACAATGTACCGTTCAACCGAGTTTTCATTTTTAATTTTTTGTAATGTATAATTGCGATGTTTTTAATTTTAGTGATGCCTATATACTATTAACAAATAAAATTAAATGAATAATCTACCGAAATTGTTTTGAGTGTTCTTTATTTTTTATCTTTTATGTAAAATTATACAAGTAAATTGTGTATTATAAACATTAAGACGATTAAACATTTTGTGAAGACTCATCAACTGATTGTTTATTTAGGTTTACATTTCTGTCAACGGTGCCCACTAATGTAATCTTCAATTTTCTTGTAACGAATCCTTGTACTTTTCTTTCAAGCTTCGCCTTGTTTTTTTTTTTCGTTTACTTCTTTTTTTTTTTTTTTTTTTTTTTTTTTTTTTTTTTTTTTTTTTTTTTTTTTTTTTTTTTTTAAATTATTTATTCTTTTCTTTTTCTTTTTTTTTCCTCTTCATTAATATACTAAAATTTCAGTTATATATTTAATTAATTTACGATTGAAAAATTTATAAGATATTAATTATGTGATACATAAAAAAGAAAAAAAAAAGAAAAAAAAAAAAAAGAAAAAGAAGGAATTATCGTGGCATAAATAATACATTTTTAAGATAGAACAAAGTAATCAGTAGTGCTAAGCATTTTATATTCAACCTTTGCACATACGAGACAGATCACGTGGGGAAAATTAATTTATACAGGGACTCTACATTAAATAATTGGACTACGAAAATTTAATTTCTTTATTTTTATATACAACGTATATAACAATATATGATAACATTGTTATATGCATTAAATGTATATATATATATATATATATATATATATATATATATATATATTGGATTACTGAAAACAATGTATGAAATGTAAACTCTATTTTATACAATATATATATTTTAGTATTTTAAAGTTAAATATATAGATTAATATTTTTTTAATCCTTTTATTTCTTTTTTTTTTTTTTTTTTTTTTTTTTTTTTTTTTTTTTTTTTTTTTTTCTCTTTTTTTTCTTTTATATAGTATTATAATATTAATTAGTTTATTTGACACAAGGTTTATTCGATAAATTACAAACTCAATGTTTATATAAATATTTCAAGTTATTTAAATTACAGGAGATAATTGTAAGTGTAAATAAATTTCTCAACTAATTTAGTTGAGTAAAAACATTTCTAATATTTAAAAATTAATGTTTTAATTGCTTTTGAATCGTAAATAAGCTAAAATAAAATTTGTATTTAAAAACGGGTAAAAATGTAAATTATTGAAGAAAATCATTAAACTCTAAGAAACTTTTTTTTTAATTAATACAAATTTTTGTTGTCTAACTTTGTAAATATCCAATGACAACAACCAATCAACGTTGTAAAATTTTAATAAAAACATTAAATGCCATTCTATCTGTAGGACGACAGTTTACTAAGAAATAATCAAGGGACAATTTATACATATTCATGAAAAGATACATGAAAAGATTTTAAATATCACACGTAATTAAACATTGATTTATATGAAGAGGAGAGAGAGAGAGAGAGAGAGAGATGTCACTTCGTATAATCCTATTAATTGTTAGTTATAATCCTGAGTATCCTAAATTGCCTTAAAATACTGTCCTTTAATAATTATATCCTTTCGATAATTAATCGAAAGATTAAATAAAAATTATCGCTAGCTTTGAAAGAAAAAACAAAAAAAAAAAAAAACTATTATTGACGATTATAAAAACTTTATTCTCTGTATTTTCGCTTTAATTGCATTGGTTATGATTATTATGTACGTTAAATATATTTTAACGATAAATCTTCTTTTCTCCTCTCTTTGAACCGCGAATCCATTAGTTTAATTGACAAGTAACTTGGATATTTAATACTAAAAAGCAATATTCGTAAAAAAAAAAAAAAAAAAAAAAAAAAAAAAAAAAACAAGATGGTAGTTTACGATGCTCAGGTTTGTTTATTAAAAAAAAAAAATAATAAATAAATAAAAAGAAACATTTTTCTAATAGCAATCGATTTTGCATTAATATACAAAGACGCTCGCGTGTATAAAATATGTAAAAAAAAAATAATGAAAGAGAAAAGAAGGAAGAAAAAGAAAAAAACGAAGAAAAAAAATCGAATAAATAAGTAAATAAATAAATAATTATGTGCACGCGAATTTAATTCTTCTAATATTCTTCTATATTATATAGAGACGAAAGTAGGGTTGATTTTCATACTATTTTAAATCGTATTAATATTGTCGAACTATTAAATTAATTATTTTGTAATTATTTAATATATTCAATATTATCATCAGGATAATAATGTATTTATAAAGTATTCCTTACCCTCACATATTTACGAATGAAATAGCAATCATACAAATAATGGAATATTATATTCTGCTAAAAAAAAAAAAAAAAAAATATCTAAGAATCCTTTATAATGATAACGATGTAGTTAGTTATAAATGTTTAATTCGACGAGATTCGAAGAAAGGAAAATGAAGGGTTTATGATTTATGATAATTGTTATTGAGTTGAATAAGAATACAAAATTATTATACTATGAAGTTCAATTATTTTCTTTCTCACAGACCAATAAATAAGAAGTTGAATAAAAATTGTATATGTGCATTGAGGATTGATTGAAAAGAAATAGACGAAATCAGAATCATAATGAGCAATGGATAATCGTATAATTTGCATTATTATCGAATATAAGTATTGTCAAAACAAATACTACCAGAGCACACTAAACGTATTACATAGTCGACGCAATTACCATACACAATTAATCGTGAGCATTTAGATCGGAAAAATTTTTTTTAACTATCTAAGTTTAAGATATAAGCGTAATTCGAGAAATGGAGAGTTAAAAGAAATTATGTTTAAATGAATTAAAAACGCCAGCTTCTGTTTTCATATCTTGTATTTGGAATTTCATACACATGGTTGGTTGAACAAAAGTAAAAATGACGAGTAATATTGTATGTTTGAGGAAAGATAATGCGTTTATAAAATGAGAGAGAACAAGCAACAATTAATGTAAAGACAACAATAAGAGAAGTAAATCGTTTAGAAACAATAGAAAATTAACGCTGAAGTAATAAAATGATAACTGCAATATATATATATATATATATATATATATATATATATATATATATATATATATATATTGCAGTTATCATTTTATTACGTAGTATACTATTGAATGTATTAAAGAGAGAATTGATCGTGATACTTGCGCACGTGTGGTCGCATTTTATGATCTATTACTGTACATTTTTGTGGTTTATTTAACAATAAAATATTAAAAATAACTTTGTTTCCATCTACTACTTTGTCCCATATATTATTTCTTACTCCCTTAGTGTTCGGTATAGTGAAGTTTTGTATTTCCCATTAAGAAAACAATAATTTATGTTTCGTTTATCGATTAAAAATAATAATGGGATAATAAATATGTTTTCTCAATAGATAATAATTTATTTATATTTTTATTTTATATTTATGTTTCATAAAATTCTTATAATTTTCAATAAAATTGCATTCCCATATATATATATATATATATATATATATTTTTTTTTTTTAATATTAATACAAACGGCAATGTAAATATAAATACGCAATTTCTTAACGAAGGTCAATCTACATTTACAATTACTAATTAGCATTAGATTATTGTTTGAGGGTGGTTGAGGGGGGGGGGAGGAGGAGGAGGGAGTGAAAGGTTCCTATTACGATAAATTTTTTTAAAAAAAAGTTCACATATAATATTCGACGAATCAGTTTATTCACTTGAATTATCACAAGTATACATAAAATAATACAACCCATAAGCTAATACGACGCAAGGTTATTCAATAATAGACATTATAATTGCAAGTTTTCTCTTCTCTTCACCTTGCAAAATACATCGTGCCCGTACAAAAGTGCCGACTTTAGAGTCGATCGTGGAGTTTTCTTGCTTGATGAGCTCTGGACGCCTCCCACGAGGCTATATTTTCCTCCCAATGTTTCAGGGGAAAAAAATCTCTATACATAGGGCATAGGGGAGAAGGAGAAGGAGTAGGAGTAGGAGTAGAATGAGGAGCGTAAGAATAAGGAGAAGAGTAAGAGCGGAAACTGCGGTAAGGCGTGTGAAGAAATCCAGCGACGACCCGCACGTCTTATGGCTTTTTATCCGAGCAAAACCTTCCGGATCATGGCCCCGCTAACTAGTTCCTCGTCGCGGTCGTTTGGCCTGATGCATTTACTGCTACAGAGGTATTGTAATAGGGGTAGGCGGTATTTGCCACAAAAGTCAACGAATTTGACGTGCTCGACCCTGTTGTCGAAGAAAACTCCTGCAAATCCACAAGGATTATATTATTTCATCGAACTTTGTACATTAATATGTTCATGGCAAATTATTAAACTAAGCTCATTCCGTGTTTTCTTTCTTTCTTTTACTGACACTTTTTGTTTAACTGGGGTAGGTGGGGGTGGTGCTGGTGGCGGTGGTGGTGATGGCGGTGTGGAGGGAGAGGGGGGGGGAGAGGATGCGTATAACGAATAATTTCTTGTAACGTTTGGGTGAAAGCAATAATTGTCAATGTAAGAAGGGGCAAATTTTCTTATGAAAATGCAAAAACTGGCTACTTTTTATAATCGTATTTTTATTATTTTTTTTCTCTCCCCCCCCCTCCTCCCGTCCCGTCACTATATTTATAAAGCTTAATTTCAGCAATATCGGCAAGCCGAGGTAAAATCAACTTATAAACACTTATAATATTTGTTCTTAATAAGGAACGGGACGGAAAAGTACGAAATTCTTTATACTACACAAATAGGGTATTCATCCTGTCGGATGTTGATTGAAAGTCGTAGATTTGTTTAATTTGCTTGATGTATGTGTCGTTGAGAAGCTTTAACTTGAATGTATGCGTAGTGAAAATTGTACATCTCAGCTATAAGGTCTGAGAGAAAACGTTGTTACTCTAATCGGTGATTTGAAAATTCAATCACACAACAGCTGTGTAATAATGATCAACGAGAGCTGCTCTTATAATAAGAAATTTATTCAAAAGTATTTTTAAGCTACGCGATAAAGTACTTTAAAAAGATATTTTATACATTTTATATTTATTAGATCGTAGAGAATTATTGTATAATTTTTTTTGTTTTTTTTTTGTTTTTTTTTTTTTGTTTTTGTTTTTTTTTTTCTTAAAACGACCGTTTGAAATTATTGCTTCCAAGCAGTAGAACAACAATTTTTCCACAATTTTCTTGATAATTAATTGAATTTTGTAAATGAATTTTATTTAATTGTTTTTCATCATGTTAAATGAAAGACTTGTTAATCGCAATAAATAGTAATCCATATGGGCATCATTTACAAATGTCGAATAATTATTATTTCTTAATAACATATATGCGGTTTAATAATGTTATTTGTAAATCTAATGTGATTATTAATTTATTACGTACCTTTGCAACGACTATTGATGCAACGGTGACCGCTATTTAGATAGTCTATTAAATTTCTCGGTAAATCTTCTTCTCGGTAAGGGATTTCAATAGTTTTAACAACCCTAGCAGCTAATTCCAAAAGCGATGGTGGATTATGCGTCATATCCGAAACAAATCTCACTACAAGTGGATTGTCCCTCAATGACAGCTGTATAATAACAATAATAATCATAATAATAACAATAATATATAATGGGAATATTTATTTTACATGACACTTACTTAATCACCCATACGCGTGCTTATTAATTATTCAGAAATATCATAAATACAATATTTATAGTAGCGACGATGTAGGAAGGCGATAGTAAGAATATAATATAATAAGAATTAAGTAAAGGAAACTAAAGGTCTAAAGTACCTCGGTTAGGCATTTAAGGCTAATGATTTCGGTCGGCAGTGTACGTAGCCTGTTCTTATGCAAAAGCAAGGATTTCAAATTCTTTAGATTGGCTATGGTACTTGGAAGGCTTTCGAGTCTATTATCACAGAGCACTAATGCTTGCAAAGCGGTCAATTTGCCAAGCGTCGAGGGCACTTCGGCTAATCTATTGCCGCCCATTGACAAGACCTGTAAACTAGAATAAAAAAAATTATAACAATTACATCGTGAGCAATTACAATAGATGAAAATTGTATAAATTAATTTCATTACATAATAAATTAAGTGTATTTAATGGAGGAGACGGAGAAAGGAATGGGAGAGAAATGAGAGAGAAGAGGAGGAAAAAAAAATGAGTGGGCAAACGTCGGTATTAGCGGTAACAAAAATATCGAAATGTTGGCGCTAACCCTATAATCAAACGCGCGATTCCAATTATGACCGCTAGGTGGCGACAAATTTTTTTCACAATACTACAAAAGAAATGGTGAGGCTTAGAGCATATAATGCCTAGGCGACCAGTCGATAGTCACTCTGGTTTCCCTTCATAACACGTATAAATCTTTCGCCTTTTACTAAAGATTTCCGTGGAGGGGAACACTTGATGAGTCTAACTACCAATTTTTTGTGTGCCCGACGTAAGTTGGGCCTGTGATCTAATTCAAACAAAGTATTTATAATTTAAGATAAGTAGTAATTCTACTACCACTACCACTACCACTATTACCACTAGTAACTAATACCACTACCACTATTACCACTACATAATCATTAATAGTGGCTTAATAGTATTATATTTATTAGTGGTAACAAACACACACCTCCCAACTATTAATAATAAATTCTCATTAATATTGTTGTTTTTCTACTTTGTGAGAGAGAATCTTCTTAATATTTATCAAATGTTATAAAACAAAAAAAAATATGTTAAACACAACTTTGATTTATATAATATTATTATCTTATTACTTACTACCAACTACTTCGTTCGTCAATTCTCTGACATTGTTTTTTTTTCCTGAATGTTTAAAATTAATTTGAACTCGAGAGAAAAACGGGTTTTTATATTATAATAAAATTCTCTTACCACCACCACACCAAAATATATAAGAGAAAATATTTTTCAGTAGAGTTAAAATTATTTTTTAGTGATATGAGTAGAATGTTGTTAATTTCAAGTCTAAAATACAATTGAATATAATCATTAATGGGTGGGGGAGGAGGGGAACGGTGGAGTGTCTTTCATTTAAAAAAAAATCAAACGACCCACAAATTTTCTTATCTTAAATTCACAAATTCTAACGGAAATAATTTTTCTACCAGTGAATAAAATACTTAAACAATAATAATGATGACATTTTTTTTTTTTTTTTTTTTTTTTTTTTTTTTTTTTGTTTATTTAACGAATGATATGTTATTTTTATACGTGGAATTTTATCAAATTATAGTATAAATTAAATTTCATCTCAATATATTTTAAGATGTTTATGTTAATGCACAATTAATTACATGAAATTGTCAATGTCGAGTACGAAAGTATACGCATGCTCAATTCTATTTTGTGCAAAATGCATTTTTATTTTTAAATGTCTCATTAATTAAAGAGTTTATTATATATTTCTTAAATTTTAATTGAAAAAAATTCTTAAATTTCTTAATCCATTTTTAATAGATAAGTTTATCGTCGTTATATCTAGTTGGACGCGTTGGATCATTTTTGTTGGATAATTGTTAAAGTGCAGTGTTAAGTGATCGATTTGAGATTTTAGTCATAAATCGTGGAAAAAAAAAAAAAAAAAAAAAAAAAAAAAAAAAAAAAAAAAAAAAAAAAAAAAAAAAAAAAAAAAAAAAAAACCCGAAGAAGAAGAAAAAAAAATTGATATACCCGTGTGCGTAAATTTACATTAATATTGAAAGAATAAAATAAATAGAACAATCGGTATATATTAATCTTTATTTAATATTTTATTCTAAAAATGTACATACTTAGAACAATTGAGTCGTGGCATAATAAAATCAAAGGTGAATTTATATTTTTGATTGTAATTTTAATTGATTTATTCTTATTCCAAGAGTTTTTAAGTATCGCATACCTTTCATCTCTCCTTATTAATTGCATGTTACGTTGGAATAAAAATTTTTAAAATAAAATGTACTTTATTCTTCGAATGCAACAAGCATAATACATGTAATGGTGATGATGCCAATGATAATGTTGTGTCGATTGTATCGTCAAATTAATAATGAAAAATGCGTAGGAGGATTGTGAGTTGAAACGTTATCATAAACTTACTGGAAATGCTAATTATCGAGAGAGAATTTTAATTAATAAAGAATATTAATGAACTTTTATTGAAGAGTATTTTTGTTGAAATTGTCAAATTTCTTAGAATTTCTAATAAATTGTAAGGTATTGTTGTAGCTAGTCGTTAGGGATAATTTTTTCTTCTCTTTTTCATTTTTTTTTTTTTTTTTTTTTTTTTTTTTTTTTTTTTTTTTAAGTGACGTATAAATGTATTAATTAATTAGCATTTCATTCGTATTGATTTCCTCAACATTAGACATCAATATTATCGAAAATCTATGTATCCAAGCTCCTTATAACATATATACATATACATTATAAATAAAGCAAAGGAAGATGAAAAGGAGGAATTACCGCTGTATCTTCCAGACGTCCTCGGTTATTTCGCTGATTCGGTTGCCGCCAAGGTAAAGGTACCTCAATCCGGGCAGGTCGAGCACCTGCTCGGGGAACTCGGTGAGGCCGTTCCCACTGAGATTCAGTTCCCTGAGCGAAGGCCAGCCCTCGAAACTCTTGGGCAACGAATCGTTGGTGATATTATTGTTCTTGGCGGATATGCAGATCAACTGGTCGAGCTGGAGCAAGAAATCCGGTAGCCCCCTGAGGCCGCAGTTGGAGACGTCGAGGGTAGCGAGATTGGCGAAGCGAATGACACTCTCGGGTAGGTAATTCAAACGGTTCTGATACAATAGAAGAGTCTCCACCTGCTCCGGTGAACTCGCGCATACCAGGTGCTCCTGCAAAATTTGCCCGTCTAGCATGAGGTAGGACAGGTCCAGGGTTTTCGAGCTTGACTCGGAGTCGCTCGAGTCCGAAGTGTAGCTCTCCATATTGACACGTCACACTGCTACCTGCAACGGTCATTACTGCTTTAGCAATTTTGCTTTTTTTTTTCTTTCTTTGTTTTTTTTTTTTTTTTTTTTTTTTTTTTTTTATTTTAGACTTGATCGTATATAGTGAATTGTACAAGTAACATTACTGCCACATAACTTTGTATATTGATTTTTAATTATCTACATCGCGCGCGCGCGCGCGCGTGCTTACAACAAATACGTTTAGCAATGTATAAGGTTAAAAAAAAAAAAAAAAAAAAAAAAAAAAAAAAAAACCAGGAGTTCTCTTTTCCCTGAAGAATACGTGTGTTAATCTGTACTGGTAATTCGTTGATACATTAATAATTCATGTTTTATCAATAGAATAGTGTCACTACAGATAATTACAGCATTGTCTCCATATTTCTAAGCCCAATAAACGAAATATTAATCCAATTACGATTCTTGGGTATCTTTAGTACGCCTAATTAACAAAATAACACGGTACTTTTATTCTTTAGCCAAACTATGCACAAATTTTCCAAGATCTGGCATAGACTAAAGACATCGTGCGTATGAAATGCAATTTTATGCACAATGTGAATTTGGAAAATTTTTTGGCAAATTACAAGAAAAAGAAAAAAAAAAAACAGAAAAAGAAATGAAAAATGTATATAGCTAATGATGCTCGTAACGTTAATAATGTATGGCGCTCCAATTAACTATTAATTTATTATAGAAATAAATATAGAATTATATTTGATAACATGTAATTGACATTGCAATCGTTGGTTTTAGTTTTGTAAATTTCGTAATACTAATACTAATATCGCTAATACATAGATCTATATAACAAAATGATGATAACATCATTAAATATAATAAGCGAATTATACGTATGGAAATCTATCCTCTTCTGAACTTATGCGATGTCCTTCAATCCCATAAAATATTATGGCTTATTTGAGTAAATGAAAGTATGTAGTTACATTGTTCACAGAAATGTTTTAAGCAACAAGTTGTAATTTAGATAATTATTAATTACACATATATACATATTCTAAATTTTAATATAAATAAAAATAATAGAACTATATTTATGAAATATTTATTAATATAATTTTCAAAATAATTTATTAAATTATGGTCGTGTATTTTTCATAAAACGAATGCCGTATTTTTCAATATTATTACAATTATCTCTAATCGCATTAAGCTTATTATAATTCTTGGGTTTATTTGATTTTGTAAAGAAAAAAGATTATTATAAGCATATCGTAGCACACAACACTTTAAATGTCCAAATAAAATTGTCGATGAATTAACTAACCTCACATTTTATAAATTAAGAACTCTAATTTATATTTGAATTCACTTGAAATTATTGATGCAGATGTATCAATAAATTAATATCGATAGAATTCATTTGAAATAAAATTTCACTAATAATGCAAAAGTAAGTTCTTTTATTTATTTATTTTATTTTATTTTTAATTAAAAGTGTTTGGTAAAATTTTCATAATATAAAATATACCCACATATGCGCATGATGTATGTGCATTAATTTAAAAAATCATCGTACTTATAAATAATTTTGTTGCTTAATTAATGGAAATTTAAGTAAAATTATTGAACAAACTTAAAATTGCGAATAATAAATTATATTAAAATATATGCTTGCATTGGCAAGATTTGAATTGTAAACATCAATCATTCTTTCCGAACGTACGGTTGACATTTTTGACATTTTCATCTTTACAACTACAATTCTAATAATAATGCTATAGTTAAAAAAAAAAAAAAAAAAAAAAAAAAAAAAAAAAAAGCGGGGGGGGTGGGGGGGGGGGAGAAAAAAAATAACCTTTTCTATTTTTCTAATAGTATTGCAATGTCCGATAATTTGGTCTACAAAATACGAAAAATGTGAGGTTAGTTTACATTGCATTATCATTCTTATTTAATGACACTTCATCGTCTTGGACGGTATGGTAAGAGGAAAAGTGTTATTGATATACGATGGTCAATTAAAAATAATAAATTTTCAGAAAGCCCATGAATCGTTGTTGGGTTGTCTAATATAATCGGACGATAATGGTAATTTCGTGTTAAAATTTACCTTACTAATGGAGCGTTATCACTCGATTAGTTAATTACATTATACCATTCGGAAGCACTATTTTAGATATTTTACATAACAATTATGACCTGTCAATGACACACTGTTGCTGAATTACTCGAAAATCAATAACGAGTATAACGTTCGTTCATAATTGAAATAACGGTAAAACTTTTTTCGCGTGTCTTATCGAGAGAAAGCCATAGCCACCGAACAGCTATAAAAAAGAAGAAAAAAAAATCAGTCGATCGAGTCTGTTAATGATCGTAAACACCTACGTTATAAACTACTGGCTTACGAGGAACAAGAGTAACGAGCAAACAAACTTGTCAAGTCACAATAAATATCGTCCACTGCTGCAAACTTGCCTTCTTCGCTATGATTCTACGTTTTCCTTTTTCTCCACCGATTACGTTTCGTAATCAAGCAGCAGGAAACTTTTTTCGCAAACGATTGTATTATCTCGACGCGAAGCACCGCCGTCGTCGCAACTGCCGCCCCCTAGCAAGTAAAGTCCACGCCTTCCTCGCGAGCTACAAAGCCAGGTTTCGGAATACCATTGTCGGATGGGGGGGGGCGGTTTCGTAGGCGGTTGTTGATTCGCGGCTGGGGGAAGGGAGGGTGTCGGAGGTGGCGGTGGTGGATGAGGAGGAGAAGGAGGAGGAGATAAAAAAAGGATGTCAAAAGGACGTCTCCGATTAATCATTTCGTTAATTATTAGGCAAATAAAAAAGTTTAATCTGTGCGTAAACCTATTGCTTTCTTTGTTAATGCATAGAAAATTTTTTAAAACTTTGAAGTTCTTATATTTTCTTCAATTGTATTGATCTTAGCATCACCATTGTACGGATATAAATAGAATTTACAGTTATTTCACTATTGTTTGAAAGATTATATAACTAAATATATTCCTTTTGCCGTTACATCATCATAATGACAAATCTATTGTTTGTAGCAATTTTATAATTTTTTATATAGCTCTGTCTTACATTTTTATTTCATATTTATATTTATCCTATTGTGAATAATAAATATCTATGAATATGTATATATATATATCTTATAAGTGAATTATAAGTGAATATTCTTCTCAATGTCTGTCCAACAAAAAACAAAGACTATTAACTTTTATGATGATTTCATCAAAATATGATATATTATTTAAAAAATATGCAATATTATTGTCATTGTTGATCAGACTGTATAATAAATATAAAAATGTCATCGATAAATGCTGCTATATATACCGAATAATGCTAAACTTAATTTTGAATATGATTGGAAAATTTATTTATCATTTAACTTGATAGCGTAGTTTAATAATCGAAAATTAAGATCGAATATTAAAATTATTTAATATAATTTCATTTTATTCATGTTTGTTGTTGGGCGATTACAACACTAATATTAAATAACTTAAATATTTTTATATGTAATGCTAAATTACATATCTATATATTGATAAAATTGCAATTTTCACATTGCCATTTTTATCGTTTCCTTTCACTGATAACTATTAATCATTTGATTTTGTACTGCAAAAATTTTAACCATACATTTACATTGTATGCAATATGCAAAAAATATCTGTCTATACATATACGTGTAATAGGCCTATAATAGGTTTGTATATATATATATATATATATATATATATAGACATATACTATTATTTATCCTTTCATCTGCCAGATATATTCTTAATTATTTATTATGTATATATATATATATATATATATATATATATATACACAAAGAGTGCTTTTAAGTAATTTTTTCTGTACGACATTATACATCGGGGAATAAATAATCCATAAGTTTGCTAATTTTCACTTATGCATAATCACACAAAGAAGAATCATATTCTTAAGTGGAATAATATATAGCAGAATGTCGTATCCTGCCATAATATATAAAAATATTCGAATATATAAATGTTATACATGTTTGCGATTGTCATCAATTGACTGTTTAAAGAAACATATATTTTTTGTATTTTGTCTAATATGTATGTCGATCAATAATTTATATAATTCTATTACAAATCTATAAAGTATGATCTAATTCTGATATTCTATATCTCAAGTAAAAAATGTATTTCAATCTACAATAATAATGTTCAGTAGGCCAGATTGTTTGCGTTACGTTAAATTACTGCGACATCTATATAAAAATTATTAAAAATCGTCAACAATTATGTACATTATTACTTGCCAATAATTTATAAATATATTGTTTTTTTTATTTTATTTTATTTTCATTAGGATTTGGTAACAATGGCTTTGTAAATAAAACAAATTAGGTCTGCAAATCTCGGTACGAATCTCCGTATCAAAATAACTAGTAAAATTTTTAAATGTTACACCACTAGTGAATTGCACTGATTCGCGGTGGATAATTTATGGTATAATCCTGCATAAACAGCGATAGATATTTATAAACGAATGCGTATATATTTGAGTAAGCTTTCTTTTTACATTAATATCAGTGTAAATCACTTAATTGCATCAAAGGAAAAATCAAATTTCAGTAAAATACTTTTATCTTTTTCTTCTGGCGAGATTGAGTGAATAAGGACATATAAAAATTTTTGTTTTAACAAAATGACATTTTATTTATTTTCTCGGCATTTATCAAGCAAAATATAAAGTCGATTGTATGTATCGAACATACGACGTGCATAACATCACACATTATGTAAATAATGACCAAAAAAAAACAAAAAAAAAAAAAAAAAAATATTATTTAATTAACTCGAATTATAATTAATTTGAGTCATAAATTAAATATAAATTATCAATATAAATTATGTATAAGTCACCGGCTTGATATGCAATATTATTTCACTTAGGATTTTTATGAGAATATTGGAAACTAATTTTCGTCGTAAAGCAAATTATTTTATTACTTATTCTCACACATAAAAATTAATGGACAACTAGAACGTTTATCAACGTGTGTTTATTGTTAAATCGTAAAAATGTATTTGTATTCATTATGCTCTTTAAAGTTCACCGAATATTTAGATCTCGAAACCTATAAAACGTTAATTTCGTGTTATTTTGCGTGTCCAAATTACCTGTACAATTACAAATTTCAGTGAATTTTGAATTCTGAATTAGCAAGTGTGAATTTAAATTTTTAAATTCGAATGAAATTTTTTTAAAAGATTTCCATTTTAATATAATTCATATACAATATAAATAATAACAGCATCTCATAATTCATCGATAAGAAATATTAATAATATATAATTGATAATATGGTATTTAAATTTGAATATTAATAACGCTATTAGAAAGAAAAGAAAAAAAAGAAAAAAAAAAAACTTGAAATAATTGAAAAAAAATCTTTCAATCAAATTTATTGAATATATGTAAAAATTCAATTTTCCATGTGTTTAATTATTACAAATGCCGCAATCTTCTATTATATAAAACCAAAATTTTATGTAGAAAATTTTATCTATACCAATATACTCTATTGGACTTAATTCTTTCAAATAAGGAGAGAACTTAATCCAAACTCAAACTTATTAAAAACTTCAATATATTAACAAGTTGGCAACGATAAACATATATTTAAAATAAATCAAAAAGTTATAAATTCAATCACCACTCTCTTATAATGAATCTGTATAATGAAAATTATCTTCTAAATTAATGACATTCGATTCAGTTTTGGACATATAAATTCCTTTCATTAACTTATTTACGTAGAATATCGTAATATATTCATTTGTAATTATTAAACAACTAAAATACATGTTCATTAATTCATCAGAATTATGGATATAGGGTAAGCATGCACCTACACTATAATTAATATTAATTAACTACTATTTAAAGAAATTTTATTTTAATATTCACAATGTAATTAGATATTCACGTATTTTAAGTTAAAAAATAAATAAACATTCCAGAACGATATGCCGTAAATTAAAAATTAAAATCATAATTTATTAAAGATAGTTAAGATATTATTTAATTTGATAATAAATTATAAAAATTCAACAAATTATGTATTTGACTTTGTTAAAATAAAAGATATCTATTTTAATACTTTGATCGATAGTTTAGGCATTCAAGAATATATTGCCGACGTTTTAGATTTAAATATAAAGTATTTTTTTATAAGCGACAGATCTAAGGAGTGTTGTGCAATAATCGAGAAATATTCATTTATTTAAAACAATTTCATATTTAATTAATTTATATACATAGTTCATAGACAATAAAAATATTATTTATTGTTAATAAATATTTTTAACTTTAATGACGTAATGCCTGATAAGTCAGATTTTCGTGTTAAATTTTTTACTTTTTTCTTCCGAAGCTCATTGAAATAAGTTTTTTTTTTTATTTTCGATAAATCAACAAATCCTGACAATAATGACTTTTATTTAAATTCACTTAATGTCTAATCAACATATTCATTCTCTTCTGCCGAATACTTTAATTATTTCATAATGATTTCTCTTTATTCATTCATTTTATTTTTTATTTATTTATTTATTTATTTTTTTTACTTTTTTGTATATTTTAGTGATTATATTCGAGACATAAAGGCATATATTATATATTATTTTCAACAATAATAAGACTAATAATAGGAAAAAAGATATTTATTAAGAATAATTAATTCTATACACAGAGGCTTATATTTCTACAAAACGAAAGCATCCGAAATATTATCTTGATTATTTATTTTATTCATTCGGTTACGGTCTTCTTTATCACAATTTTTTATTGATTAAAATACTTTGTAATTATGAAAATCAGAAAAAAGTCATGAATAGAAATACTATTTATTGAGATACGAAAAAGAAATTGTATTAAAAATAAATAATCAAGAGGATTCGGATTCTCTAGGACAATAAAAGAATAATAATAATTTATTACCTGTATTTCTATTAATAAGTCAACATATATATATATATATATATATATATATATATATATATATATATGATTTTTGAGACTGAAATGTCTATAAAGTCGATAATTAAGAACCTATTAAGATAAGAAATAATCAGTCTACTAAATATAAAATGGAGGCATGTAAAAGTTAGTTCTACAACATAATATCAATGATAATAGTACAGTCAACAATGGGATGTATTAATTAAACTATTAATTCGTATTTTATTATATATTTATAACGATAATATAGATAATGCAATAGATTATAATAGTACAATTTTTGCAATAATTTAGTAATGTTATTTTCCCTAAAAATTATTTATCAGTTCCATTTGAATTTTTATAGAAGAAAAATTTTAATTAAATTTGATCATATCAAATTGTACATAATAAATTGGTTAAAATATATATTGAAAATTAGAATTATGCATAAAAATAATAAAAATTGTTAATTTAACGTAATATATGTAAACACGACGATATTAATAAACATAAATATTTTGTCATAATAATGATTATAACTTTTTCCTATAGTTGCAAAATTCATTGCTTTACTTTTTTCGCGTAAAAAATTTAATTACTTAAATAATTATAAATTTATCTTTTAATATAATTTAATCATAATTCAATATTGTTTGAATTACGATAGAAAAAGTAATACACATCGAATTATATAAATATACAATGTAATTTTTAGGCAATCCATCCTATGAATTATTTAGGGTTGTTATTAACATACCATATAAAATTATTTAATGTAGACATTTTGTAAATAATATAAACTAATAGCCTTTAATTTTTCAATGTATTTAATATATTTTTACTTATATTAACATTTAAGATTTTGTCTATAATACAATAAAATTTAGCTTTTACTGATTTCTTAATAGAGATTAATACATAGAAAAGATAAGAAATATTAGATTCCAATATACTATTTTTTATCTTGGTTTGTCTTAGATATCTTACAAATAACGTAGTGACAAAAAAAAAAAAGAAAAAACAAACAAAATTGATCATTAATATAATATAATTCAGACAAACATATTCTAAACATAATTACGAATGTATATTAATTTATATATATATATATATATATATATATATATTGTGTTGTCGATAAGAATTTTATCTATATATAAATATTGTTTATTAATATCTGACAATAATTAATGCATTATGAATAATGTATAATCAAAAGTTATATTTAACTTATTTATAAATAGCAATTATGCTGTTCGTATCATTTATCTGATTTAATTAATGTTCAATTTGTTTTGTCAAAATTTAAATTTATCATTATTGCCTTTGATATTCATTTACCATTTAAATTATTATTCGCAACATATGCATTCATGCATGTGCATGTATTAATTAAAAATACCTTTTATTTCATTATCATTTTTTTTTCCCGAGATTTAATTTTAGAAAACAAATATCTAGAAAAATACATATCACATGTTTTTTTTTTTCTTTTTTTTTTAACGGCAACAACTGTAAATATCTAAATAAAATAAAAATCTAATTACAAGTTGTTAAGTAAATTTTTTACACAAAAACAAATTGATTTAACCGTTGACTAATGTATTACGTTTCAATAAGAATTACATAATTATTTACAAAGTAGTTCTAAACAATAATTAACAATATTTTATTTGTATCCCTCTATATTATTATTCACTATGTCTTATTCATTATTTTTCAAGTATATTTTTAAATATTGACACTTTTATATGTTTAGAATATTTTAATAATTAGTTAAATATGTAAACTACAATATGCACATTAGTAATGCAGCGTACATATTATGCTAATTGCTCCAGAGCTAAAGACAAAAGACTGTCGAATTTTGTTCAGGAGTGGATTTTCATTTTATAACGCTTCATTTGCCATCTTATTTTCTCTATGTGGACAAAGACTAATTATTTTAAATTTTTATTTCAAATATGATTTTTTAATTCTGTTTATAAAACGATCAATTAAATATATATCTTCTTTATTTTCAATTTCAATCAATTATAATAATAATACTACAAGTAATATTATATTAATTTAGACGAGTAAGTTCATTGCTATAATTTAATTAAAATTTCATATTTAATCGCAACCTTATAACCTTAAAAATTAACACATCCGTGTGTATATGCATATATATATATATATATATATATATATATACACATACACACACATATATTGTTCATTCTCTAATCGTGATAACGTGACGTAGATAATTTAATTGCCATTTTAATAAAAATACGAAAATATAATTGTAACACAGTAACTGATATTATTGAATAATGCTGGCCATTTGAAATTAAAAAAAAAAAAAACATATTTATTATATTACAAATTTATTAAATAAACACGTTAAACAATCTCGTATAATTAAATTCAGTAAAATATATTTATGATGGTATTAGAGTGCATTTCCATTTAAAGAAATTTATAGAAAATACTTGGCATTAAATCGATAAGGAATCATGACATCAAAGTAAAAATAATTAATAATGTAGAAATCACTCTGCAATTGCAAACAAGATAAATTAAACAAGATAAAGCTACAGGGACTTGTTTTAAAACTTTTTATACGATAAAATAATAGAATTTAGAATTATATAAACTTCTACAATTGATTTTAAAACAAGTATAATAAATTATTTAAATTCCATAATTTTCGTTTAATTTTATAAAATGATAAGATCGATTCCAAGCCTGAGTAAGATAAATCTACATCATTAGAGAGAGAGAGAGAGATCAAATAGAGCAAAAATACCATAATTCATATTAATTGGAAACTACTACTCAGTGTTTTATTAATAAAAACTTATTAATATTTACAAATTATAATGAATATTTACAAATATAAACGATTTTAAACAAATAACAATTAATAAAATAAGACAATAAAATTAAAAAAAATTAATAAAATAATAAAACGTGTTCCTTCATACACGTGGAAAGCGTGAAATCAGAAGACTTTGAGCTCTAATGTGTACAATATGTAAACTAGAAATTACAATATCAGTATAATTTATTTTCGAAATCAGACATCAAAAATCTAAAAATACTATTAATATTTATATTTTAATTTGTAAATACTACCGGTCGAAATTGTTTCAACTATATAGGTTAGATTGTGATGAGATACATGCAGTGTGATTCTAAATAATTTTATATAAAATTAAGTTCCGTTTTAATGTTTTCGAAATTATTGTATTTCTACGCTTTATTTATTAAGATATAAAGTAATAATTATACTTTAAAATATGATATATTTTATGGGAATTTATTTATAGTTATTTAGTAATTATATTAAACGGCGATGATTGGATACTGTGCCAATGTATAATTTTAGTATTTAAACTGTGCAAAATTTTGTTTTTCTAATAATGCTTCCTTTATGTCTAACAATTTAAAATGGAAATTTTTCTTTTATCATTGACTCGAAAAATACAGTGTGCAACACGAGCGTTGTGTACAGCAATCAAACCAAATTTATCACATGAAACGGATAAGATTGTTTTAAATAATAAACGTGCAATATTTCAATCTTTGATAGAATCTAATGCACTCATTAATCAAATATTCAAAAAGAATGAAAGTATTAACGATGAACAGTGGTTGAATGTACGTACGGATTTGATAGATTCTTGGAACGTATCCAAATCAACTTTGGATGCAAATATCTTCTCTATTTGTTTTTATTATAAGAAATATGACATAGCAAAGAGTTACTTTAAATTTTTAGAGTCCAATAATTATGAACTGCAGTTTAATATATATGGAAATTATATTAAGACTTTTTCTATGCAAGATGTACCAATTAACGAAGAAGAAGAAAAAGAAATATTGAGAGCTTATAACAACCTTCGACAAAAATATAAAGTTCTAGATAGAAATACATGTTGTGCTTGTATTGCTGCATTATCGTTAACAAAAAATTGGAGAGAATCATTGGCATTATTACAAATGATAGAAGAAGCGTATTCAAGTACAGGAGTGAATGAGGTATCGATAATAGTTAATGCATGTTTCAATAATAACGAAGCCGATTTAGCTTGGAAAATAATGAATGAAAAAACTTCAAAATACCATCTACGTCAAGATATTTATGTAAAGTATTTAGATTATTGCAAAAGAAATTTCGATTCTTCCACAATAATAAAAGAAGTAGAGAAGATTTTTCTATTTTGGAGAAAATATAATATCTATCCATTAGATCATATTGTTTATCTATATACGGAGTTATATAAATCACTTGGATATTCTATAAAAGACACTTCTATCACAAAACAGTAAAAATAAATATTTGTATTAAAAAATATTTAAATCAATTTATTTTTTCAACTCAATCGCATTATTATTGTATTATGTTAGATTGTTTAATTGAAATTCAAAATTAATTTAAATTGCACGTACATTTGACATTAATTGTAATTAATATATAATTATTGACAATACATAATTATAATTACATATTTTATAGGGGAATATGTAAATCCTGTTCACAGCTATTACAAACAACTAACATTAATAAAGAGGAATTTAAACAGCTGTCACAATCATTTATGCAAAATGCCATCATTGGAAAGAATATACTTTATGCATCGTCGCCACAAGAATTAAAACGATATATGATCTTCATTAATTCCATGAAACCTTACAATCTAGTTATCGATGGATTAAACGTGGCTTATGCAATGCGTACTAAGACAGAGGCAGGCTCATTGAAGCCTGTAAGTGAGATAATTTTGATTATAAACCCTTTGAAATTTAAGGGAAATACAAAAATTTGATTTAATTCTAAATTTATAGATCTTGGATATCGTTGAGGAATTTCATAAAAAGGGACAAAGAGTTCTTGTCATTGGTCGAATACATATGTTGTGGTGGTCAAAGAAAACTATGAAGCTTATCCAAGAAAAAGCAGATACTTTTTTTACAAAAAATATGTCAGTAATAAAATAACGACATTTTTATTTCATTTTAATATTATCATTGAAGATGAAAAAATATATAATTAAAAATTTTAATTTTAATTCTTGAAAAGAATAATTATTTAATAATTAATAATAAGTTTATACTAAAATTATATTATTATTTTTATATTTATAATTTAAATCATTTGTAAATAGAAGATTATGATTTAATGAAATTTAAACTTTAAATGTAATTATAGTATCGTGAAAACAAAATCTACAATAATCATTAAAAATGAAATAATTTGAAATATTTTATTTATAGATCCGAAGATGATCCTTTCTTGTTACACGTAACTCTTATGAGTGGTCCTCAAACATATTTCATATCTCGTGATTTGATGAGAAATCTCAAGTACAAACTTATTGATCCACATTTGAAAAATGTATTTAAGACTTGGCAATTGTCTCGACAATACTTATACAAAATAAATAAACATAAAAAAACTGTTGAACTTATAGAACCTATTAGCTTTGAAATGAAGACACAGAAGTCTGAAGAAGGTTGGCACATACCTTTTACGTGTGATACAAAGCTAATACTTCCAGATTCGTATTCGCTACCAGAAAAATGGATTTGCTTGAAAAATAAGAAATGATTTCGAACTATAGCAAATTCGTTTGTATTTCTTTTGTTTAATAATAAGCATTCATATAAAAAAAAATACTTCTTAATAATGTGTATAATAAAACGTTAAAGACAAATTAATATTAATAATTGAATGTTCATGATTATATATTATATTAATTGAAACATGAATTTTTAATGTTCTTGAAGAAAGGAATGCACTAAATAGTAAAATTATTTAATAAAACAATTTTCAGATGCCTCCGAGTAAATATGCATTTACTAATATGTTTTGACTTGATTTCATTAGTATAAATGTAAAAGAAAATAAAATAATTGTTTAAATATGTTTTTCTTAAAACAATTAGAGTTCCAGATAGCTATTTAAGTTTCCTTTGTTTACATTTCATTTTACAAATGAATAAGTAAATTTCAATTAAAATTCATATTAAATAATATGAAGATGTTTAAGATCAAATATAAATTCTGATGGTATAAATTGTTTCAACTTGTAAATAAAAACTTATGTATAAAAATTTGTTTGCGTCTTATTAAAATATAAACTGTAATCAAAATTGTAATTCTTAGGAAATGGATGAGGATGGTATTTGTATTTTATATTTAAAAAAATCTGTAAATAAAATGGCCCAATCAATTATAAATTCTTATTATAAATAAGTATTATAGTAATTGAGAAAATGTTTAATTCAATTTAAAAATTCACATTGAAAATGTAATATAACAAAATAAAACAATTGTCTTATTATGAAATATTTGTAGGTGAAAAATAGGTGTTTTTTTTTGTTTTTTTGTTTTTTTGTTTATAAAGTGTATTCCTTCTTTCTTTGCACGTTAACAATGTAATTTATCGTGATCGTTCATCGAAATTGCAGCTTAAAATGGAAGACCAAATTAAATATAATTGCTTTGATATTATAATTATACGTATTATTTGAACGAAAGAATTGTGATAAATTTGTAATAATAAACAGATTAATTTTATTACTTAGCTCATTCGGCCTTGTACTGTATTCAGCAATTCGAAATGCACATTACATTTACCATTCAATTATGTATTTCGATTATGATTGTAATTTAAGGAATAGTTATAATACTTTCAATTTTGACAAACTCTTCTTAAATCATCGATTTATATTTTTTCGAATTTCATGCAAGAAAGTTCGCGTTGTGTCTCAGCTACACATTCTGCATTTCACTTTTTAGCAAAACTTAATTGTAAGTTCATAGATTCATTATAATATTAATCATAATGAATAAGATGGGAAACAATCGTCGATTAATTAGATAAACAGAATTACTTACGACACTAAATGAGTATTAGAAAGGAGAAAGATATATAATTAAATTTATATAAATGTTAATTAAACGAAAATAAAACTATATGTCAGAGTGTTATAGTAGACATAAAATTATGTTTAATAATTTATAATTTCACATCTATTTTGTATATCTCAATTTCTATACATCGAAATTAAATGAATTAATTATAATGGATTTCAATTTGGATTTAAATTTAAATTTTATAGCAACCGCATGGCATTCAAAAGCGATAATTGAGCATGAAAGTGGGAAAGGATATCATAAATTATCTATTTTATATTTTATATTATATAACAAATTATTCTATCATAAATCATCCAAATTGACATTCGGCTTAAGCAAAATCCTTTCTCATTCTGACCGCGCGGCGGCGCAATATTACCAAACAGTGTAGAAAGACAAATTAGGTTATATTTTTCATTAGACTATTCGTTCGTTCTATCATCACCGTCAAACAAACAATGACCGATAATCTCCGAACTCTCTAATTAGTAAACACATATTAACGTTGCGCAGTAAGTGTCGACGATTAAAAATTCAACACCACTAATATGACAAGTGCAGTGATGCACCCGAAGAGACCACGGGAGGATGATACCCTCGAGTGTTTTTTGTATCCGCGATTCTGTTACTGCCTTAACACGGATCAAATCACCGAAGAAATGCTTAACTCAGAAATTCAGATGTTCAAACAAGACATCGAGCTTTACGTTAAAGATTATTTATGGCACAGAGATCCCCTTGTCTTTGACGTTAGAACCAAACAGACATTGCAGTTCGATTGTATTATTGAGAATTCCTTAAGGCCAACGGGTAATTTAAACACACTTGTCTTTTTCTCTCCAATTTAGTAAAATTTCTTTGTTTTTATTTTTGATACTGTTTCATTAAATGTGCTGATAAGTTTTTAAAAAATGTAACTGAATAATGCACATAAATAATTAGTTTTTTCTTTCATTGACAATCATATTTTCGTTTATTAAATGCTGCTTACTTAAAAATCAGATGTAGATGATTTCATTGTGAATATATTCACATAAATTATTCACAAGATTATAACAAATTTATTATGAAGTTAATAGATATTTTAAGAAAGCAATATTTCGCTGTACCTTCTCATAATCGATATTTTAATTTTAATTAATGTAATGTAATAGATTTGGAGCTACTGCCGCACATACATGTTAATTTGCGATTTGACGAGGATATAGGAGACGAATGGTTTGTTGTTTTCTTAATTATGAATCTCACTAAAAAGTACGAAGGCCTTATTGCAAGAATGATAGACTCTGATGGGGAGTTCCTCTTGATCGAAGCAGCAGAAGAAATTCCAAGTTGGGCTACTCCGGAAGCTTGTCAGAATCGTGTTTTCATGATGAATGGCGCTGTGCACGCAGTTCAAGATAAACAAAAAATTTGTATAAATATTTTAAATAGCGTTCATCAAAATCCTCATATGTTTAGGCTCTCTGACAAGGTTTGTATATATATATATATATATATATATATATATATATATATATTTTTTAACTTATAGAAAGTCTTTAATTAGACATTAAAAGTTTTCATTAAATTAATATAAAAACATTAAAAATTAATATAAAAGTTAATAAAAAAAATACCCTTTTATATTAAACATTATCATAAATTCTTGGAATACTGTTAATTTAAAAAATTTTTTTAATTTTTTAAACTTTATTAAATAATTAAATTTCCTAACACTTATCAAATTTTAATATATAGTTAATTAGATTTTGAATTTCAGAATTTCTTAAAAATGATTGAAAAGTTTGATTGATATTTTGATTTTGAGATTATCCCATTAAAGTATTTATGAATTCTGTAAATAAATTTGTCAACAATAATTAATCAATAGGACTTAAATAATTTTCTAACTTAATGCTTAATAGGTATTTTTTACTTTGACGTTAACGCCGAGATATGTTTATAAATTGTTAAAACTACATAATGACATTTTTGTGCATATTTTTGATTATACATTTTATTATTATGAAATAATTAATATTTATCATATTTAGGTTCAAGCAGTTATTCAAAAGAAAATTAGTATTTATCCGGAGGAGATTGTGAATAGAAAACACAAAGCAAGGGCCTATTTACCAGAAAAGGCTGCATACATTTTACGTAAAGAACCCAAGCTCGTAGCATCCGCTATTAGAACGATTTGCCACTCGGATCCTCTTGAAAGAAAAGTATGTCGCGGTATGCGTTATTTTCCTCCAGAGCAACGTATTATGGAAAACGTGAAAATGACTAAATGTTTATATGCCATGGCTTCACATTGTAGGTAGGTAATTCTCATTTCATAAAGAAAAATGCTAGGATGAATTGTTGTCAATAGATCATTTATACCATATTTCATATATATAATATATATATATATATATATATTATTTCGGTATATTGAGTTATTTTTATCAGTACTATATAATAAAAAATATATTTAAATATAAAATTTTTCATCTATAAATATTTAATCGATATTGATAGCGGTTATAATTTTTTAAATAAAATTAACTTTACAACTTGATTTATTTAGATTGAAATTGTCAAGTTCAGCTTATAATATTATATAATATTATAAAATAAAAAATTGTAAATTATTTTTAAATTTAGTTTTTGTTTTTACGTATTTTGCTATTGTAAAATGGCAAATAAATATATTATTCGGGGAAATAATTTTTAATTTATGTAAATACCGTGTCCATCGTCGAATTTTATAATAATTATAATTTATTTAATTTATTCAATCAATTAGTATGCTTACATTTACATTCACTTAGATATATTCGATAATTTGTTAATTAAATAATAATTTATCTCTTCATTCGTTCGTTCCATGTTACCGACAATTTCAGCTTATCCTGTTTTTTACTTTCATTTAATCAAACGCCAAAAATGTTGTTAAAAGCTTTTAGCTGCAAATTTACAATACTTATATGTAATAATTTATACATTAAATAATGTAGGTAGATAAGTGATGTTCAAGTCCACAGGTTCGAAGCGTAAAATAAAATTGTAACATTCTAACGTAATGCCAGTCAAACATAATGGCTTTCGGTAAATCTAGACCGAATGAACATTAACATAAGTTAATGGAAAATTTAATACGCACACGAGCTTCATGCGAGATTCATTATTTCGGGCAAAAGTTTTGTCAAATGCCCTAACATTAGATTTGCTCGCTACAGGTACACTGGTGACCTTAGAACAGGTTGGAACTTACCTCCCGCTAATAGCCCCAAATACAACGCCTACTTGCTTGGCATCAAGATAGCTTGTGGCCTGGAGATGCTTTTGGAGCGAGCGCACGAGGAGCTGCGCAAGTGCGAAAAGCAGCTCGCTGACAACAAATCACCGGTACTCGATGACGAGGCTTGGTCGAACTTCCTCAAGCGGCTCGAATCAAGTGGCTACTTCCGAGAGTTGTTGGAGGGCAGTCGGGAGAGGCAGTCACTCCTGGAGAAGGCAAAGTCTTATTATAGGTTGCACATGAGCTGCAATGGAGCGAGCGAGAGACTCGAGAGTCGCGAGACGCAGCGACTCCTTAAGGTCTACAAAGATATTCAGAGCAACGATATGGAAATGGAATGTGAGAGACAATTCTTTTTACCACTTCAATGTACAATCGTTGCATTAAGTATATTTCAGATGGCAAGACTTTTTCATAAACATTAATCCTTAACTACGGACCATGAAATCAATGCATTGTTTCATCAATTAAGTCCATTACCACCACACATTTTAACCTCTCCCTACAAAATACCTATAAAATAATTTATTTTACAAAGAGAACGTCCTCTTATCGAATATGACATATAATAATAAATAATGTATTTCATTTCGGCCAAACGATGTAATTTTTGATTAAATATTTTATGGGAAATTGCATTTTGTAGAGAAAATTTATATAAAGATATAGTAAAAGTAATAATAATGGTCATAATAGCGAACCAAGTCAAGCCATTAACATTAACCACAAAATATTCCACTACTTTCCTTTGATTAAATAATGACGATGATCGATGCTTAAATAAAGCTTCGAGGATTTAAAAACGGGCATAAGTAATGTAAAAAAAATTTTTTTATATAATTCTTAGCTACGGAAGTGTGCACCCTCAGTCCCGAAGATAACGATAATTGGTTGAACGTCGATCCTATACAATTGGAAACGATGTTAAATCAACAATTTGGAATGCATAAAAAGAAAATACAGCAGCCTTTAAATCTTCAGGATAAGGTGCAAGCTTTCATTAATCAAAGAAGCGGAGTCGAGGGTGTTCGGTTTTACGTGTAAGCAAAACTCATTTTCTTAAGGGAATCGAAATAATATGATATCAATATTTTATAAATTTTATAAGCCAAAGCGAACGTCTCTTTACTGCATTATTACAAAGCTTATGGAAAATAATTTAGAAAATTAATTATTTGGATAGTTTGCAACAAAATTTATGTAGTTATAAAATTTTTTGTAAGAATTTTTTTTTTCGCTTTTTTCTCATTCAATAACATCATTAAAATATTTCGTTATCACGAATTATCTTTACATTGATACCTAAATTTTTAAGTTTTAGCATTTCTTTTTCTTTCGAACAAGTAATTATTTTTTGTCGTTCAAGAACATATCTCTATATTATCATGCTAACTATCAACTAAATTCTTGTATCAAAAAATCAAAAAATCAAAAAATCTAAAAATCAAAAAATCAAAAAAACAAATAAAAAATCAATGTAAATATATAGCAATTTGAATTGCAGTAAAGAGGAAAATTATTCATCGATAATTTTTTACATTTGTAGCGGTGTTTTTTTATGTAAAGATTTTTACGTAACAACAAAATGTAGCTCATACATTCAATAATCATGATACATATTATTTAGATTATTAGATAATAAATCTGTAAATATATATATATATATATATATATATATATATATAATTCCTTTTTATATAATTACAATTAATCTATACTTTAAAGACTTCTCTTAAGAGAGAAATGCTTGAAAATTTTTTAAATTTTATTCTTTAACACAAAAGTCTCTTAAAGTATATGATATGTGAATGATAAATATTTATTTGATATTTCAATCGAATTTTTTTTTTTTTTTTTTTGAAATTGGTGACCTCTTTTCTTTACCTTCCCCATTTTTCAACCATTTAAAATAATTAAATATAATTTTTAATAATTCGATATTTATTATTTCAATAACAATGTGTAATTTCATGCAGGGCAGAAATTATTTTCTAATTAAAAATAGAAATAGAAAAAATAGTACTTTGTATGTAATTTGCCATTTTGTTTTAAATAATTATCAGCCCATGAGAAAAAAGAAAAATGTAGATATCAATGACGTTTGTATTCATTTATATATTTTGTAAATTTTTATTTTTTAACTTAACAATGATTTTCTACAGAAAAATATAAATATACACATAATAAAATATTACAATAGTGGCAATAAATTATTTTTTGAAGTTTAAAATCCTTCTTGAATGATGGATATGATATGAGAAAAGAAATTCACCAAATGTAATTTAACTTATTTATACATTATTGTCTAAAAGTAAAAAATTCATCGCTTCCTTCATTTACTCATCGATTGCTTAACTCTACTTTAGGGACAATGATACGGATATAAAACCACCTCCCGACATGGAAGATAATAATCGGATAGATTTCGACCCAGACGTTTTTGATTCGGCGCTTCGAGACATATTGGACTTCGTTGTCCCTGGCGAGGATGGTGAATTTGTTGGGAGTTCGGACAGTGAACTCGGAGGTGATGGCGACGATTTGGGTGGCGAAATGGATAAATACATGCAATTGCTTGACTCGCAGCTCCAGGAACAGATGATTGATAGCTCCACAAGCAATAGTATGTCGAATCGTGACACGATGGAGGCAAATCTGCTGGGAAGCATTAAGGAAGAAGCTGGGGGAACCGGACCCCTGAGTAATATATTAGGTGGTCCCGTTGAAAAGCTCAAGCATCTGCAATTGAACTCAACCGACAATGAAGCAAAAGACGTAAATGATTAAAAAAAATATCTGATCTTCTGGTTCGAAAGTTCGACATATTCCATTTTATAGGAGTAAATCGGGGGTATTGATGCGTAATTAGTCCCTTTTTACTTCCGTTGCTAAACACTTGACATTTTGCTTCCTTCATATATTCATTTTAATGTAATGTAAGTCTTTATAGGATTTATTATTTGGCAGTATAAGATATTGGTTATATTTATAAAATAATTGACAACATTTACTTATAATTCAATATTGTTGGAGAATTGTGTAATTCGATAAATATAAAAATTTTAATTTTAAAGTAACGAGTATGAATTAAAAATATAGAAAGTTAATTTTATTCCTTTTTCTAACGGATTATTATATTTTACTTTATCAATATTACAATAAACACTGCATAAGAACTTCATAAGTTAATTAGCTATTTTTAGGGCTTTTTTTTTTTTTAATTTCCTAATATTGTATGAAATAATTTAAGGTACTTAGTTTGAATAAATTTAAATTTATTTTCATAAAAATCTATGTATTATAATTAAAAAACATTCGTTTAAATATATCTTATTTTTTAAATAGATTTTATAAAATCAACGTGATAAAAAGGATATATTAATAGAAGAGCGGCTAATAAACGTGTTGATATAATATACACTTACGCGCGCGCGCGCGCGCACACACACACACAGACATAACATAACATTTTATGTGATAAAAAATAACGAAAAAAATTGTCGAAGATTATTTTAAATCTGTTATTCAAGTGTTATTCTATATAAAACATAAAAATATTTTACAACTGCATTATTTACATGGAAAAATAGTATTCGTTTATTATTATTTTTTTTTCTCTTCATATATGTTCAATACCATTAGGCAGAATTTTCATTGATTATATAACGAAATAAAAAAATCTTATTCGTAATGGTAATATTTATTTTGTAACAATACTATTAAATGTCTAAAATGAGTCAAATTTTGTTAAGGCAAAGTAAAAATTAAAAATCTGATAATAAGCTAGTATTTACAATATATTTGTAAAGATGCAAAGAAAAACTTTACGATTGTTATCAATAATACGAGTACTACATCCTATTAAAATTGTCTAACTTTTCTAAAAAAAAAAAAAAAAAAAAAAAAGAGAGAGGATTAATTGTTAAAAATGCTTGTCATATTAATGAACAATGACATATTTTTTAAATTTATGCATTAGTAGAAATAAGTATAAGATAAACGTGAAATATTAATTTTAGAAAAATTTCTTTCGATCGATGAATATTTATTAAATATTTTTTTTCCCTCCCAGTTTGGTAAAAGCAATTCTGACAAAAATCTATTTAAAATTATGCAAAAATATTTCAGAATTCATAGTACAGTGCCTCTATCTAATATGAAATATAAGATTTTAAAAAATATTCCTCTTTACAATCGATAGATAATTATTAAATTAAAACAAATTAATCCTTGTGAAAATGATGAGGAAAATGCTTTAAGATCTTTTTACATAATATTTTCCTACTGATGTGCCAAAATCAAAATAATATATTATACTATTGTTAATACTTATAGTAAATAATTATGCGATTCACATCAGAATTAAATAATTCATTGTGGACGAAATATTTGTCATTTAAATATTTCAATGTAAGATTCCAATAATGACATTTAATGAAGTTTAATAAATTTTCTCTTTAAGTGATACCTGATAAAGGTACGTAATAAAATTTTTTTAGTTTATTTAACTATTAAACCAACATTATCACAATAACTTTAAAAGTATTATTCTTATACATAAAACTTTTGTACTATGTACGTTACATCTTAAAGTCGATGTATACTCTATGTGCTTTAAAATAAAAAAATATTCTAAAAATCCGTAATGTCGTTGAAAATATTAATTTTAAAAGGCCACATCAATTTAAAAGATGTAGTATGTTATTTAAAAAATTACTGAAGAAGCCCGTTGCTATGTATAGGTACTTATGTATGCCTTCTCATATCTGCTTGTACATTTACATCTATTTAATTATAAAATAAATACAACATATCCATTAAATTATTGTATAAAGAATTAAAAACAGAATAAGAGAATTCAATTAATTTTTATTTGCTTTATAAAATATGTATATATGTATTAATAAATTTTTATTTGATAATTAATATTAGTTTTATTTTATTAAAGTTTTATAATTTTCGGGTTAGATATAAGCAAAGAAATGATAAATTAATTACTTTATCGTCTCGTCTGCTTATGAATTTATATTTTGTTTGTCCACAATTTCGTTTCCTATCTACAAGCCTTACCACAGTTCTATAGAGAAATATGAAATAATTATTATTTATATATATTATTAGCCAATGAATGTAGTATAATACGTTATTGTTATTATATTTGAATGAAATAAGGCGGTTTGAAATTTTTTAATACTAATATTGCGATCGATACGATTATACGTGGCTATTCTTTAGTTTAGTTATCGTTTCCGTAAGTACTTAAATTCTTTTATAAAAATTTGATTTTCATGCAATATATTCCTTAACTATAATAATTCAACATTGAATAATGATATATTATCTCTTTATGAACTTTATTATGCAAGATGTATATATATATATATATATATATATATATATATATTTTTGTAGTATGCAGACATATTCGTAATATATTTATTAATAGGGCTAACAATGAAATCTAATTTTATGTGTGAAATCTTGAAGAAAAGTATACACAATTGTCATAAATTTGTAAATTAATATAATAATGATTAATAGTTTTAAAAACAAGTATTAATGAATATAAAAGTTTAAATTTTTTTTATTATAAATTGTATAGAATTCATATTATTAGATATTCATTTTATATAATTTTGAAAAGTTGTGGCACATTTTCTTATACTAATAAATAAAATATATATTAATTTCTCATGAGAGAAAAAAACAATAAAATACTATTTTAATGCTCAAATCTTATAAATACCATAATGACGATTAAAACAAATAAAAATTTGTAGATATACATGATTTATTTTACCTCGAATCCTTAAATAATCAAGTTTGAAGAGACAAAAAATAAGATGCTGCCTTACTAGTACAAGTAATGAGTAGTTAAATCAGAACTTTTATTACACAATTCACCATGTTTAACAACAAGTGCCAACATTTGTTTTTTTTTTACAATGCACCCGTCAAGACTACAATATCGTTGAGAATTGAAACTATCCCAGTGCAGAATTTTCAGGTTGCATTTTACTTAAACACATTTCTGACTCAGAATTATTGGTACTTCTGTTCTCATATTACGACGTTGTAGATGACGTGGACGGTAATATCGTCGATTCATCAAAATCGATGGGATTGTCATCTTCAATAGAAACACTTTTTCGCGTTGTTTTTAATCTAAAAAATACGTAATTAATGGTTATATTTATTATTATTATTATTAGTTCTTGGTAATACACTGAAATGTAAAATGCTTAATTTATTCTAAGATATAAAGAAATTTTCTAAAAACTTTTAAACTTATAAAGCGACGATGAAATTTTACAAATAAAAATAATGTATTTGAAAATCTTTTAATAATCATTATATTTCAATTTAATTAATTCTAATAGCAATTAATATATTGATAATTAATTTGTTATCATTATTATACAGAAGCCAAAAGCAGCTCACCTTGTTTTTACAGCCTGTGTACTAGCTATCGTAGGATCAGTCAATTTTGATTTCACTTCTAGTTTGAGGTCGGAGCTTCCCGAATAATAAATAATAGCAGTAGGAACGAGATTCTGATCAAATAAATGTTTATCGGCAACCAAATCGCAACGAGGAGGCGATGTATCTTTTAAAAATGAAAATAATTTTTATTATATAAAGCATAAATTTTTAGATGTGGTCTTAAATTGTTAACATTAAATAACAATAAAATTTATACAAACTTATGTACATCAACATTTTCTCGTATAAATTGACTTTACTTACAAAGTTTTATATACAAATATGGATAAATAATTAATGTTTCATAGCCTCATTATTATTATCATACATACTTCATATAATTATAGTTGATAACTTACAGAGTACAAAATCTTCTTCTGGATGTTCGAGATAAGTTTTGATAAAATCTTTTATTGATTGTACAGTTTCAAGAGGACCAAATAATCCTTGAAGAACAAATTGATTTGGAAATTGTATTCGAATGACAGCTTGTTGATATTTGTGTAAAATATTTAATTTTGTTTTATTTTCTTCCAATTCCCTTTGTGCAGCAGTTATAAGAGGAGCATCCTCGAGCATTGATTGCATTCTCTTTACATCGCGTAATAAAATTTTAGCGTCATTAACGGTTAAATCAAAGAAATCATCTGGAATGTCATCCTGATCTATGGCTTCGGCACCCGCTTGATTAAATAATAAAGCATTCCTCTCTCCCAGCTATAGAAAATAACAGTTACCTTGTTATATTCTTTTGATTTTGATTTTGATTTTGATTTTGATTTTATTTAATCAAGTCAAATAATTTATACTGAAATATTTTTTTGTCGTAACTTACAAATTCAATCGGAGGCTCTTTAATTTCTTCCTTCACAGTTTTATTTGGCATCGGTTCATCATTTTCATGAATTTCCATTGCATTTTCATTTTCATTTTCTATTTCTTTATTTAAATTTGTAGAGCATAATGGTGTTGTAATTTTATTCTCCGTTTCTTTTGCTTTTTGTGTATCGTTTGATGTTTGTAAATGTTCCTTCTTTGCTTTAATGATAGAAATGGGATTTAGAACTGTGCTTTTATTAGGATCCATAACTGGTTTTGGTCTAACTTTATCATCTTCATTCTCATTAGGTTTAGAGACTTTTGATTTCGAAGGTACATAAACATGAGCTTGATCCTTCAATGTGTCTGGATTCCGTTCAAGTAGTCTAAAAAGTGCTTTACCGCTCCCTAATCCCAGCGATCTTAATGTCACTGTTTCAAAGTCTTTCCCACAAATCTTGGATAATTAGAATAAAATTATTTTATTAACATCTATACGATAATAAATATTTAATTTCAAGAAAAATCTTTAACTTTTTTTTTATCAATTTTGCTAACATTTTTTTAAAAACTTTTCAAAAATGATAGACTTCGATAATTAAAAATTAGACTTACTTCTCTTTGCGTATATATTATGACAGCCGAGTTTGTATTATATTGAATATTTAAATCTTGGAGAATTGTTGTTATATTCACATTTGGGAAATATTCACCTGTTAATCGATCTCCATTTTCCAACTGAATACAAATTCCTACATTTGACACTTTCCTTGGATTTTTGCATTTAACCATTTCTAGAGAAGCATTATTTGATATATTGGAATATCGAAAAATTAAGTTAACATCCAGAATTTGATTATAATGTCTACAAGTAAATAAGAATAAATTCACTTAATTAGCATCTGATTAAAAAGATCACGCGCAAGAGTATAAAAAGTAGTTTTGGTACTTTAAGTCATATTCATCTGGATTGAAATCGTACTTTTGACAAACTTCTTCGAGAACCTGAAATAAATATTATCAATGTATTATTAAATATAGTAATATATCATATTACAATTATTATTAAATAATTAATGTTACAAGTACTTGTAATATCGTTGAATTAGGTGAAATTTTAATATTCGAACGACGTCCATTAGGTGTTAGCACAGTAACACACTTATTTGTAGCCATTCTTACTTAATCTTAGCAGTCTTGAAACAGAAAATAGGGTTAAAAAAAAAGTTGAATGTGTATTTTTAAATTATAATTGAATACAATGTTATTAAAACGCACGACGAAATAACGGTGTTTAAATAAATTCTTAAGAATTCAGAATGTACTGTTATTACAGAATTTTATTAAAAATATAAAATTTTCACTACGGTAAATGTCATTTAATGAATTTATAATCGATTCAATCGATAAAATTCTCTAATATTAAAGTGCACGATGTTTTTATAAAATTATTTTATATTAAATTATAGCTTATCGAGCATGTTCTCGTACCATACATACCTTCCATAAATTCAAATAAATTAAAAATATCTTTTGCAAGTTAATTATTGTAAATTACATTACCCCGTATTAGCCGACTCTCACAATTAACCTAAAATTGCAAAGTTTTTTCAATCGCAAATCTCATTATTATATATTTATGCAGCACTAATATATTTTGATTAGGCACGCGTAGTAAGGAATTTGCGCAATATATGAATATTGATAGTGCATAAAATAAAATTCCTATATCAAGATTTTCTATTTTAAAAATAATATTCGTAATTTAAATTGAAATGGATTATGTTTCGGATAGGACTACTTACCTTATAAATATGATAAGTCGACTTTTCTATTAAAATTGATCGTTTGCTTATCGATGCAATAGTAATTTATGAAAAATCATATGGTTATTGTACGATTATATACGAATAAATGAAATAACGTTGAAATAACGTTGAAATATCGTTAACGAATTGCAAATATTAATAAGATATTGCATTTAGTATGAAATAGTTCTGTGTTCATCACGGGCCCTAATAAACAAATTAAATAAATAAGTACATAATTTTAATTAATGATAATTGGCAAATATAATGAATAAAATAAACAGGACAATCAGCCTAACTGATTGTCGAATATACTATTCATTAATGGGGATATTAGCTTTATAATTACTTTAGACTATTTAATATTTTGCTATTTACGTAGATTTCATAATGATCGGGGAGGTGTCAACCAATGAGAACGAGATTATTCTGCGCAGATTTGAGACGTCGTCGTTCAATGTTATATATTCTGATTAGTCGTCTTATTTATTTTTGTGTGATCAATTTTCTTTCTAATTGACATTAGACAACAATTGCACAAATCCTATGATTATCCGTCTAAAATGTTGTAAGTAATTATAAATAAGTTGGTGATAAATTTTTATTACTCCAAGTTTTTCATATTTTTTTTCCGCATTTTAACCATACGTCAACATATTTTTTAGGAAATTCGTCTGATTATTGTTTTAGGCTAATTTTTACATTAAATAATATTAAGTAATATTGTTATGATAATGCTTATGGCTTATATTTTACGCTTTATTTTACTAATGGGATAGTGTAATTTATTTAAATTTAAACTTGAAGAAATCATGTTATCTATATTTTTGTTTAATATTATTGTCATTAAATTTTGTTATAGAAAAATATTGATTTTCCTTGGTGAATAATCGTTGTTTTGATATTATATGTGGAATATAATTCAGATAGACTGTTAAAATAAATACGGAATTTACTAAATATCGAGCATGGAGGATATGCAAGAAGAAACTCAATTTGTTGTGGACGATGTTAGTAAAATTATCAAGGATGCTATCGAAGCTGCGATAGGAGGAAATGTATATTCTCATAGTAAAGTGAATCAATGGACGTCAAATGTTGTTGAAAGCTGTTTAGGACACTTAACGAAACTTCAAAAACCTTATAAGTACATAGTTTCTTGTACAATTATGCAAAAGAACGGAGCTGGCCTACATACTGCGAGCTCTTGCTTTTGGGATAACGCCACTGACGGAAGTTGCACAGTGCGTTGGGAAAATAAGACAATGTATTGTATCGTGTCAGTGTTTGGTTTAGCCATTTAAACGATAAATTGTAGAACTATTTTCTTTATTTTAAATATGTACGCAAATGCATCCAATGATTTGTAAAATTCTTGTTTTTTTTTTTTCTCTTTTTTTTTTTCTTCTCTTCTTTAATTCAGTGTCCACAGAAAATAATTACATATTATTTATAACAATGATTTATAACTTATGAATTTATAAAAATCGTGTATCTTTAAGAATCAAGGCTTTAAGCTTTTAATATACTCTAAAAATTAATTATGCGAAATAATAAAAAAATTATAAAGTTGTGTTTTAACCACAATAATGTAAAATACGGAGGAAATTATGGTAGTAATTTTTCAAAATAAATGATATCTAGATTTAAGTTTTTACGAAACAAATTTTTTTTTTTATAAAAAGGCTAACCACTTGTTGTTTTAATTAAAAATACTTTTATTTGTAATAAAAATGTGTTTACTATTTAAAAAATTCAAAAATTATTCATTTAAAAAATAACAATACTAGTTTTAAGCTTTGTTATTTTTAATCATTTTATTTATTTGAATAATTTATATATTAAAAAAAAAAAAAAATTGAGTGAAATTTCAATATATACATATAAATTTATATGTTTTCGTTTTCCTACAAAGTATAAATAATGAAAATAGTAGGATATTAGATATACTTATATTAAGAAATATTAAAAATTATTCAAAGATATTGCGAGTAAACCACTGCTAAGCTATACACATTGATTTAATAAGAAATAATATACTTTATAAATTACTATAATTCAGTGTAATTTTATTTCAGCATTTCATTAATATTAGAACAAAAGTATAGATTATATTGAAATCATTCAAATTATACTGTAGATAATCCATTATGATTAGTATTTCATTTTTGATAGTTTTGGATAAAATAATATTTTAAAAACGATCCTTTTAATTTAAGGTAGAGAGAACACGAGAGAGAAAATAATTGTAAGTAAAATTAATGTATAGAATCTCAATATTGTATTCAATACTTTTTTATAATGCTAGAATTCTGAAATTAATTACTACATAATTTATAATGAAAAGTTTCAATAAAAAATCGGATAATTAAAAGAAGTTATAAAATTATTATGAATTATTTTAAAGTAACATTATTGTATTATTATTTGAGAATGTAAGGGTAATTGTATAATTTAATATATTAATAAGTATTTATCCTGTCATATTTTTACACTTAATAACTTGAATTTAAAACGTGACGATACTTCGAAAGATAAAAAATACTTTCTTAAAATACAAATTAAAGTCGACTTGGATAAAAAAAAAAAAAAAAAAAAAAAAAAAAAAAAAAAAAAACCTGAAGCCACTGGTTACACTCAGTTTCGTTGCATTACATATATCTTACATAATAAGAAAAAATAAACGTTTAAGAAATATGTGCAATCATATATGTATAAGGACATTCGAGTTGCAAGGGGATGTAGTCCTGGAACACGTGGCTCCGAATACTTAAGTACCCGGTTGAGTCAATGGACGATCGTCAATGGCCCTGAACGAAGCATTATCTATCGCGAGAGTAGCCGTCAATTTGGAATAAAAATTATACCGAACAAGGACTCAGGGTCATAGCTCAACAGCCACCATTTAACCTTGACCTCTGTCCCTGAATCGAATCTTCTATAATGTGTTCTTTCACTTTACGAAAACTGCTGGTAATAGAGTTATATAAAATTCTAGATACAAAAGGCATTAACCACAAGTTTAATAGTTTATTTCAATCTTATATAGTATTTTATTGATTTAGCTTAATGCTTATGTCGCTGCTCTTCAAAATTAATATATTTTTTAATTCTAAAACCAAAATTATCGTAATCATGTCCTATTAGGAGGCCTCTAGTCTTTAGGATGATAACAAGACTCAATCGTTATGTGTGTTATGTACAATCTTTCTTGAAATCATAATAATTAAATAAATGAGATCCAAGAGAAAGTAGTTTGTTCTCTTCATAAAGAGCACGTTTCGAATGTCACACGACATTTGTGAATTTGAAGACAATATTTTTAAATTAGCCACTGGCACTACGAATGAAAGTTGTATTACGTTTATTATAATATGAAAAATACTGTAAATATCTTATACGATTTTGGTTAAATTTGAGCGTTTCTCAAATAGAGAACGATGAACTGTAAATTATATTAAGACAAATACTTTATATTACATTAAAATACAATTGAATTCTAATATTCTAATGATTTTTTAGATTATAAATATTGTATTGGTATTTTTCATAATATATATTAAATTTAAATTAATTAAATTAAAATCTAATCGTTTATTTAAATTATACGTTAATTTATTATAACGAATAATTAACGAGGATGAAATTACATGTTTTATTAAGGTCATAATTTTATAATTGTTTACACGCCATTTATTTATATCCACGATTTATAATCTTTCAAAATTAACGAAACTACAATGTCATTTAAATGTTCGATAAATAGACGCACACATCCAAATTTATAAATATGATTTAAATTAATGCACAAAAGAAATTGCAAAATATTAATGCCAGTAAAAGTTTTAACTTTAAATAATTGTAAATGGTTTCTTTTTAACGAAATTTAAAAAAATGCATATATAGTATAATAATTATTTTACGTAATGTTAATATATAGCTAATATTGATATATTCATGGCACGCGAATAAAATAAAAATTACTAACTTTGAAATTTAAAATAGCTTTATAAAAAATTTGTGCGATAATTTTAAATTATGTTATATGTATTGCATTGAATTAATATATTATACTCCATTTTGACATTAAAAAGGGAACGCAATAAACTATTGATTATCGCTTATGTCAAAAGTTAATTGATAATAAAGAAATCAAATGGTAAATAAAATTCAAATACGACCTCGGGCGAGAAACATTTATTTAACTTTCAAAATTCATTTGCTGGTTTTACACGTAAAAATAGATTGAACTTATATTACTAATTAAAATTATTAAATAAAACTACATTCAACTTATTTTATAGATAAAGTAACAATAAACGATAAACTTGTTTCAATATCATTTTGCAGTAAATTTTGTTCGATAACTCTGTAAGTTTAATTTTTACTACATGCGATCGAATATTGTTAAATTAAGTGTAGGATGTCAATCTCTATTACTAAATAATTCCTATGACTGTAAATAATCAAATTTATCAAATTTTTAATAAATAATATTCACAGTAGTGAATTTAGTTACCATTTGAATATTTGTATCAATATTTCATCTGTTATATTGTCAATCGTCTCTTCAGTATAAACAACATTCATTTTTTATGCATTGGTATTTTCGTGTCAATCGTACTTGGGATCTTATTATTTTTATTATTTACAGTAGATATTATGGGTCTATAGTATTATTAAATTATAATATAAATATCTAATAATAATTAATATAAATATTTAATATAAATAATGTATGTAAAAAAAAAGTAATCTTACTTTGCCTTTGGACTATTTGTCAAATTATTATGTAATTTTCTATCACCAGCCTTATAATTCATTATTTTGTTTAAAATTTCAACGGTACTTGGTTTTTCATCATCGTCGGATGAATAGATCATATTATTATAATCATTGTGTAAAATTTCAAAATCGTTAAATTTAGATTTATTTGAACAAGCATTATTTTCGATTAAATATTCTATTGCCTCCTAGAATTATTAACAGTTAATTTTAATAAATGATTATTGAAAAACAAAAAAAAGATCAGTTATATTACCGTTGTAGATGAATGTAACTCTAATGCAAACAAAGCATCCTTCTCTTGAAATCCCATTTCAACTAAATTTGCCAGTTTTACACGCATTAATTCCCTTTGTGTATGATAATTTTCTGGTTCTATAAAAGTAGCCCTTGTTAAGTATATTTCAGCTTCATAATATTTCTATAAAATAAAATCATTTGAAGAAGGAAAAATAAAAAAATTAAATTAAATTAAACGTATCAACTATTGAATTACATTTGATTTAATAAATTTATAACTTTGGAATTTAATTTTAAAAGTAAAATATCAATTTAAATTATTTTAAATAAATTATATTGAAATATACTAAATTAAAAATTTATATTTTACTTTTTATATATTACCTGTAAACCAAATGAAGCTTGTCCAGCTCGTACATTTGCAAGATAAATATGTAAATTATCTTTACTTGTTTGTAACACATATTTGGCATCTTCCAAAGCTCTATAAATTGATTTAATTTTTATATTTTTCTACAATGTTTTAAATTAATAAATAATATATACCTACAAATTGTATTTATTCATTCTTAAATAGCAGTAACAACGATTTAAGTAATGACGATGATCACTAGCTTTTAAAACTATAGCTTCATTTAAATATTCTAATGCATTATTTATTTTATTTTTTAAAATCATTCTAACAGCTTTTGAAAGTATTTTATTATGCTGATTGTGTTTATTTAATTTCAACATCTGTTTTTGCTGAAACATTTTCAATAGTCAATAAATTTAGAACTATGCAAATATATAATCATAAGTTACATACAGAATTTATACTAATTTTATGCTGGTCATCCTTTATAGAATTAAATTTCTTTTTAATTACGCTTGGGACAGAGGTAGTAGGTTTGTGTTTATCTTTAAGTTTATATCGAATAATTTCAGAAACAAAAGCTGACACATTTTCTTTCAAAAAATCAAAATCATCACTGTTTGACTTTACATTTGTCTTCTCTGTATCTTCATTTACTTCTTCATAATCATCAATTTCAACTTTTTTAACATTATTATTTGTATTTGTAAGCTTCACTATATTACTATTTTTATTTTTAAACTTTTCAACAGTACTATCGGCATTCTCATTGCTTTCCATATCTTTCAAATTTTTTTGAATTTTTCTTCTTGAACTTTGTCTATGATTATTTAATTTCACACTTTTTTCATCAATTTTAATTTTGTTTGTTCTATCCGTTACATTAGATTTTATACTATTGTTGAAATTATGTGCTAAGGTTTTTTTATTTACTACTGATTTGACATTTTTATTAGAAATTTGTGTATTAATTAAATTTGAATTTGGAATATCGACGATTGTTTCTGTATCTGCGATTGAAGATAGCTCATCGTTCTTTATAATTACATTTTGTGATAATGATTTAGAAATTTTATCAGCGGATTCCAAATTACTTTCATTTAAATGGTTTTGTTTTGTATTACATTTTACATCAGTTTTCTTATTCACTAATTTTTCATCAATACTGAGATCATAAGCTTTTATTGAAATTTCATTATATATTGGAACATATATTTTTACATTACTCCAAATGTTACTTATACTTTTTGAATCTTTGTTAAGCAATTTTGAATATTTTTTACGATAAATATTAACTTCTTTAAAATTACTAATTAAAAGTATATCGTAACTATAGTTATAAAAAGAAATAAATACATGTTTCTTCTGTTCTGATATCTCACTAGCTGATTGTTTTGAATATGAGGAATCCAAATCGTCTGATGAATCTGTTAAAAACCAATTATCCGAATCAGTATGTAATGCATTATAGTAGTTGCATTCATACATTGTTAATTATACTTAAAATGATTTATCTGAAAAAAAAAATTAAGTTACAAAAATATTAATTTTTAAATATTTATTTTACTAATCGATTGCATCTAAGCTTCTATTTAAAATTTTTATAATTATTATTGTACAACTTAATGTAATAAAATATACATAAATTTTTTTCAAATATTGTAATATACGTAATGTATAACAATGCTTATATGTTTCTCAAAATATCATTTTTTTTAACATTCAAATTAATCAAATGAATTTTGAAATATTATATATATATATATTTTTATACTTAAAGTAATCATACTTACTTTGATAAATTAATGTTATATTTGGAATTTTTGTTTGCCAACTGTATTAAATATTATAAAATTACATTAAAAAAAAAAAAAAAAAAAACCCTTTATGAATAATTTTATTATCAGTGTAGTGAGTGATATTTTTTCAAAACAAAGATAATAGATTAATTTGATATTCAGTTTTTTCCACTAACTTTTTTTAAAATTTTTACAATTTTAATTTTGTATGTTCTGGTCAGGCGATTAATTTATATGATCGAATGGATTGTACGACGATTAATATTTATAATAATGTAACCACTGATAACTCGAAGTACTCGAAGCTCTTGAAATTATGTAAAAACGTTAGAAACTCAACCTTATAATGTTTATGAAAGTTGCTTTCACCTAGCGTTACTTTTAATACGAGCTATCTAGAAAACTAATCAATCCCATATAAAATAAAGTTGTTTTTATTAATGCTTCGATTGATTTCAATTCAGCTTCTAATCCACGAATGTCTTAAAAACAGTTAAATCATTAAAAAAGAAATTTAACTTAAAGCCAAGTCCTATTGTAAGTATATAAAAACTTCTTTTGTACGAGTTTGATGATGATTATACGTTGCGGTATAGTTAGAAGTCACATTGCAGTTTTAAAAAATAAACAAATAAGCGCCGTCTTTTGTTACCCGTGTATTTTGTATTTTGTAGGCGCACGTTTGTCGTGCACTGCTCTAATATCATTTATTATTATCTTTAGTGTATTAATATTAATATTAATATTAATATAGCTATTAGTATGAAATAGCTATTAATATCTTTAGTGTACAACCGAAATTGTGTGATACAAGAAATAAATTATAAAGAAAAAATCATTATTTATCTTCATTTATATGATTATTGGTGGTTGTGTAGTTTTTTCAAATAAGATATTATTATATAATTATAAAGAGGCTTCAATTATCGTTAAATTCGTTTGCTATTAAGATTATAAATTGTAGATATTTAACGACGATAGTTATTTGAATTATTTTACTTTTATTTATTAATAATATAGATGAATTAATAAAATACATCGATTCGCGTAACGAAAAATAAAATACGGAATGTAAATGCGATATAATATAATTTATAATTCATCAAACTATCAAACTCGAGTGCGAAAATATGTATTCATATCGTTCATAATTTTTTTTTTTTTATTATTTAACAGTATTAATAATTATTGTTACTTCTTTTCACTTTCACAATACAATGGCAATATTGAGTCAAATTTTTTCATCACATTGCTTTTAGTTATTTATCGAATTCATGAAACTATCAATTTTCATGGCTTCTTTCTTTAATATTATAAACAAATTATCGACATTGCTTCGAAAGTACTTTATAATACAGAAATATCACTAAATTAAAATTATTAAATTTTGGTTGAATAGATAAAATTGCTTTATTGTAATAACTGCTATAAACGACAATAGAGAATCCCTTGGCTTCGAGTACAATTTAAATAGACTATCAAATAATTGTTAAGTAAATTATAAAAAGTTTTCCAAAAAAAAAAAAAAAAAAAAAAAAAAAAAAAAAAACCAAAGTTTGAAAAAGTTAAAAAATTAACTATTTAAATTTTAAATTTTGCCCATTATAATAAAACACATCATAAATATGAAAAGTACATGGAAATTAAGTAACGATTTACCTCAAATTTTGTTATCAAGAATAATTCCTTAGAAATTCTTCAAATTTTTATTTTCATAAAGAATAACCTTGTGCAAAAGTTGCATAAAAAATTACATTTTTTATTGTATTTTAGTTTTTTTTTTATTTCAGATCAAATCAGCAAAAAAAAAAAAAAACAAAAAAACAAAAAAAAAAAACAGAAAAAACAGAAAAAAAAATTCAAGATAAATTTTATTTAAAAATTTGTGTAAAATGGATTGTAAAATATTCAATATTATTGAAACATTGAAAAAATATATTGAGTATTTAAATTATAATAATTACGTCGCTCATAGTGATAGATGAGATGATTTATTTCTACTAATGAATTGAATGATAAAAATACACGATTTTGCCGAGTAGTCTGAATATAATTTATATGTAATGCTTCTAATAGAGAACAAATAAGAGGCTTTTACATTTTTAATTCCATATTACAAAGGTAATGGTAAAAAGTGTAAAATAATGAATTAATGGGAAATAAGAAGTGGGTAACCGATTTAAAAAATATAATCGCAGATATAATATAGGATGATGAATAAAAGTTTATTTCTTGTGAACTATTGATTCGATGGTAAATCCAATGTTATTGTTATATTGGATCTTTTTTTATTGAATATTTTTTATATTAGTAAGAGTAATTTTAATACTCACTGTGATGCAATTAAACACACATTTTACGAGGACAATCAATTTGAATTGAAGGAAGTATTTATTGATTTGAATCTGCTTATGGTTGTAAGTAGATAATATTTGAAAAAAAATTTGAAATTATTTTTGGAGAAACGAAGCCGAGTGTACGTAATAGAATAATTAAAGTAGACAAAATAATTTTAATCTAATGGTATGTGCTATCATAATTAAGCAAATTGGAATTATGAAAAATTTGTTCCTTCAAAATTCTGTAATTTTATTATTTTAATATTATGTACTTTTAATAAAATTCATAAAATAATTTTACTTTCAATAATATAGAAATTTTCACTATTACCATAGTTCAAGGAACTAGTAAAATTAAAATTTATTTCGCCAGCTTGTAGCATCTATTTTTGATATATTTCCTCTCGATTAGTATTGTAAAATTTTCATACACTTTAATAAAATATTTGATAAATCAATAATGAGAATATGCAATAAAGAGAAAATCCGATAATGATAAATCAATTAAATATGATTAATCGTGAAAAGAATATCCCCTTGAAACGATTAAAACCTCAAAATGAAAATTATAAATTATTTGTTTAATCGAAGATAATTATTTCACGATTTTTATAAATAAAAAAAGTATCTTTTTTTTTTAACTATCTGGCTTACAATACTTGGCGTTTGTGTATATTCTGTAAAAAAAAATAAATTATTGATTTTAAAGCTCTTTTTTCTTACGGATATTGAGAAGAAGTAGTTTTGGTATACATGATGCATGTGTAAAATGTATGTGATATGTTTGTAAAAATAGTAAATTTATTGATTGAATATGCATATCTCATTCTACTAGATCTTTAGTCACATTGAAGGAACACGAGGGCGGGAGAGAGAGAGAGAGAGAGAGAGAGAGAGAGAGAGAGATATTCAGCAATTGTTTGCGTCGCTACTCGTAAGTACAAGAAAACTAAAGGATTCTTCCAACATAACTATGTATAAAATGGAAAAATATTTAATAAATGAATTTCCGGGATTTGAAATACCGTCGTAACAGTATCGTTCAACCGTATAGAATAAATTTGATTTTTTGTAACGGTAACAATGGTAACGCAATCAAGTTGAAAGTAGCGCTATGAGCGGCCAAATTGAGAAATACTAGGGAATAATTTTTAAACATTGTATTCAGTTTTGAGCGGCTGTATGCTGACGATTTCTATTTACTGAAAATTGAATGGACGTTTAGTTCGTACTAAGATGACTGTTACAAATTATTATTCATGCCTATTAATTGGTGCTTATGCTTGTACTTTGATAGCACTGCAAAATAGTTTTACAGTTTAAGCAATTGGACCGTAATTAATAACAAAAGAACAGTTCTACTTAGTAATTTTTATTTACTAATATATATATATATATATATATATATATATATATATATAAATATAAAGAATTGATTTTTATTTATACGAATGAAAAAATTGGAAAAGTTTGGAGTAAACATCGAGTGTTTTTAATACAAAGCTTGACACGAATTTTATAATACTCGTTTTGGAAAAGAACAAGTAAGACTTGTTATTTTGAAGGTAACGATACAAAATTGTATTAATGTAATAAGCTTAATTTTTATGTTTTTTTTTCTTTCTTTCTTTTTTTAAATTTGATTGAATAATTCGTTTAAAATACATTGTTGATCAATTAAAGTAATATTAAAATTATTATGTCTTCAGTATTATTTGAAAGTTAAAATTATATCTTTAGTACACAGTCGTGCAGCATAAGAAAAAATAAGTCATTTTATACTTAACGCAATTTGTATATTATGGATACGAGTAATAATGGAAATTAAATTATACACAAAAATTTTAAATTAAGTGTAACTGCGAAACAAGGAAACATAGATATCAAGTCATTTATGTTTTTGGCAATTTTTACAATTAATATTATAATTTCAAATTATCTAACCTAAACTAATATTCTTTTTATCTGCTTAATGATGTATAAATGGTGTATTAAACTAAAATATATTTAATTTTCAATTTAGAACGCTACAGGATGGAAAAAATGATTATTGAAGATAATGAAATTGAAAGAAGCGATATACCAATCACAGAAGAGAGTTTAATAAGTTTAGAAAAATTAGATAGAGCCTCTCCAGATTTATGGCCAGAGCAAAGTATTACAAAATTTGTTGCACAAAATTCACCACAAATGGAGATTCCAGTCTGGTCAACTAATTTAACGACCGATGATATGAATCAGTTATATCAATTAGGACATTTGTCAATGAACGAATTAATAACAGAAGTAAAGAAGCTACACGATACAGCTTATCAACTTGGGCTTGAAGAGGCAAAGGAAATGACAAGAGGAAAGTACTTAAATATATTTAAGCAAAAATAGATAATAAAAATTATGGTAATAAAATTGTATTTAAAAGATTATTAATAGATAAGATATTTTACAGTGATTAAATCAAATCAGTGATTAAAATATTTTAAATAATTATTTTTCTTAAATTTATTCAATAATAATGTATTATAAACAGTTATATAAAATTAAATTAGATCAAGTGTAAATTAAATTGTACATTGAATACACCGATTAAATAATGTCAATATTTGTATTTTACGAAGTTATAATTCATAGAAATATTTTTTATTTTATATAAGTAATAGTAAATAAAGTATAATTTTGTAATATGTAAGTATTAATATTTACTTATATTTTTATAAATATGTAGATTTTTGGTGTAGTATATTTGTAGGTTTAGTACATAGTATATATGCGTAGGTTTGGCGTAGTAAATTATTAGAAATATTACCATCTACTTTTAAATACGAATTGATTTTATAAATAATTTTACATTAAACTGTAAAAGTGAAAAGAAAGTGTTCCTTACTATCCTAAAGAATGTCTTAATCATGAAAAATATAGCCAACCTTTCAAGAAAGTAATTGATATCATATTTTTAATATATTATACGAATGAATTTATCATAGTTTTAATAGTTTTATAAAACGTTTGTGAAAAATTAATTACATATATTAATATTCTATATTTAATAAAATTATAAAATTTTGTATATATATATATATATATATATATATATGTAGAATTATAATTTTATTAAAATCTTATGAAACTTCATTATTTTATCATTCTGCTCAAGTTTATTATTATTTGCTTGAAATAAAAATTTAGCTTTCAAAATGATGATTTCATTATGAGATATTCTGCAATATTATCAATAATATATATTTTTTCTTTCAATGCAATATGTGCAAATTGTTAATTATTCATAATTATATGATATTCTATCGTAACTGCTTTTTTATTTAATTTTCATTACCAAGCTTCATTACCTTTATTAGCTTGAAAAACATTAAAAATTTCCATTATATTATCGATTTGAAATTGTTATTCATAATTAACATAATTAATAATTATAAATATATCATTAATACTATAATTAGTCAAACAAATATTTTTATCTCATTGCTCATTAAACTTTTCAAAATAAAATTTTTATGATTATTTTTTTGAAATTTCTACTAAAATTACATTAAATGAATACAATTTATAATATATAAAAATTACTTTATATGTATTTATTACACATTACCTTACATAATACTTATAATTATAGAAAATTTTTATATAATATATAATTGAGTATTATATCTATTACCATAAATATTTTTATTTTTTTATACAAATATATTTTTCTATAAAAATTAAATCCTACATAAGCCTACATAAGGTTATTTTTATAAGAAAAATAATTCTTAACGGTAAGTTTTATTTTAACAATAATAATCGGGTTTTAAACTATAAGGTATATAAAATTAATAATTTTACAATTAAAGTAAAAGTTTTAGTTTTTATTTCAGAATTTATCTCTGTAATATTCTACTAATAATGAGATTCGAAATATTGGGTATAATATAATATGAAAGGACCCTAATGTGGACCGAATTTGAATTTGAATAAGCTGCATTTCCAATACACTCTCAATATTTATACGCAAAATAGTGTTTAAATTTGTTTATTTATGTAATATCGAAATAGTATTTAAGTCAGCTTATTCATATTTACTAATAAATCGAATGAATCATTTTTCTACAATATTATAGTTTGCTGATAGTAAGCTTATTTATTCTCTATTTATATTTATTTATTTATATTTACATAATACATAATAAATTTAATGGTATTTTTATTAAAAATAAAATATATAATTCTAATTACATAAGTAGTAAAGTTTTTGCCCATCAACTAGTCAAATCTTTATAAAATATCGATACTTATTTTAAACTAGTGAATTGTATTTTTGTAGTTTTAAGCTGAATTTCAGAAGTTTTTAAACAATAATTTAGAAATATAGCACATTTGTTGCATTTATAAAATAAAATAAGAAATAATAGTAAATTATGTTGTTTGGTATTTTTAATTTTTAATAATTTATATGCGCTCGCTGTATACTTTTGAAAGTATTGTTTTAAAGTATCAAGCAAAGCCAGGATTTTTAATTTATTTCAAATTAACAAGTTGCATATAATGCGATGAATAATGTAAATTTTTGGAACATGTTAATTTTACATAATTGTTGATACATATGATTGTTGGTACTGTTAAAAATTATAATTCGAGCTTTATCCCATTACTTAATGGTTTTGACTACAATATAAAATATAATAACGCATGTAAACTGGAAATATTGAGATAGTAAAAATTATAAATTTCTGTATTATAATTTCCCATAATTCCGCTATTTATCAAATATTTCTTTAAACAGTCAGAATTTTTAAATATATAAAGCCTTCAAAACGTAAATTATATTTATAAATGCCATATATCTCTTTTGTATAACAATGCCTAAGCTTAAATAAAACTTAAATTAACCAAAAAGTCCTCGATTAAATAGAATTTAATAAAATTCATGAAAATTTATTCAGCGATAATTGCAATGGCTAATGTAACAACTACTTTTATTTAGTTTAGTTTTATTTATAATCTTTATATTACCATTACTCTTAAACGTAAGACAATAAAAACTTATCTTTGTACAATTTTTGTGATAGGCTACATTACGCTGAGGACAGGAAATCCAACAACGAATTCTTAGTTTACATTTTATTCGTCGTTACATTTCGTTATTTTTATTAAATAGAAGAACGTAAGGGGGGGGGAGGACGAATTTGTAAAATTTTCAGCTATCTCGCTATAAAAATTACTAATATAAAAAGAAAACAAAAAGTATAGTAAAGTAAACGTGATCCTTCAACACTCGAATAATAAGGAAAAGGAGGGCAAAATTCTTATTAAGTCGCCGTCCACATCACAGGGACCTTTGGTCTATCTGTCGTAAGCGTGCCCATACTCGCAATAAAAAGAAAACCGTCGCAAGCATCGTTAATAATAATTTATTAATAATACTAATACTAATACTATTAATACTACTACTACTACTACTACTACTACTACTACTACTAGTAATAATAATAATAATAATAATTAATAATAAGTAATAATAATAATAATAATAATAATAATTAATAATAAGTAATAATAATAATAATAATAATAATAATTAATAATAAGTAATAATAATAATAATAATAATAATAATTAATAATAAGTAATAATAATAATAATAATAATAATAATTAATAATAAGTAATAATAATAATAATAATAATAATAATTAATAATAAGTAATAATAATAATAATAATAATAATAATTAATAATAAGTAATAATAATAATAATAATAATAATAATTAATAATAAGTAATAATAATAATAATAATAATAATAATTAATAATAAGTAATAATAATAATAATAATAATAATAATTAATAATAAGTAATAATAATAATAATAATAATAATAATTAATAATAAGTAATAATAATAATAATAATAATAATAATTAATAATAAGTAATAATAATAATAATAATAATAATAATTAATAATAAGTAATAATAATAATAATAATAATAATAATTAATAATAAGTAATAATAATAATAATAATAATAATAATTAATAATAATAATAATTAATAATAATAATAATTAATAATAATAATAATAATAATAATAATAATAAATAATAATAATTAATAATAATTAATAGTAATAATTAATAGTCGATTGATTATGATAATGATAATGATAAACGATTCAGTCTTTGTTCGTATGGGCTTATCGCATTCGGGCGATGCAATTGCGTTCGTCACTGCCGTCGGAGCACTCGAGAAAACCATTGCAGAGCCTCGACTTGGGGAGGCATTCTCCCAAGGGGCAGCGGTGGCCTTTGCAGTTCATAATTGTCGATGGGACATCGGTGCGCGAGGTCATGCGCTCGATCCAGCTTACGTAGTGGTAAACCTTGGTGTAAACGCCCGGTCGACCCGGCCTTCCGCACCCGTAGCCGTTCGACGTTATGCCTGCAAATGGTGATAATCCGTCGAGTTAATCGAATTGTCTAATTAGTTAGAATATACGAGTTAGAATACGCTTGATGTCGATTAATCATTATGAAAATTGCAATTTTATAGGCGATAAAGTGTAATTGTTAAAAATACGCGTACTCACGATGACACAAAATTACCATTATGCAACTTCAATATTCATTTGTGAAAATAAATAAAAGAAAAGAAATGTTTATTATTTATTATTAATTAATACAAGTCGTTTAAACGACTTTACAATTGGTCGTACATCTGATTGCAAGCATATATAAAATAAGATTTTTTTTGTTTATTTATTTATTTATTTATTTTTTTTTTATTTATTTATTTTTTTTGTTTTCTTTTGGAAAACGTACGTATCTCTCGTTATTCGTTACCTTTTTATCGCCGATTCAAAATCCAACTTCCCATCTACGTCAAAGAAGGAGGAAGCAAGAATTTTTATCGTCGGAGACAAAGCCAGTGATAGTAGGCTATCACCCCATTATGAATTTTAGATATTCAAGATGACGAATAAATTAAGGCACGTGTTTTAACATTGAATGAAAATGTCAGCGTCGACGGAAATTTATTTATGATCAGTATGAATTACGCGATAGACGCATTAGTATTCATCAATTAATTCAATAATTGGCTAAGAATCTCACCATGAAGGGTATATTTATTATCGGATTCCGAGCAGACAAGCGGACCTCCGCTATCGCCAAGACACGCGTCTCTTCCACCATCTTTTACACCGGCGCAAAGCATTCCGGAGGTGATGCGATACAAAGGGAGAAATAAGGTTTTTCTACGACACTCTTCGGTCGATATCAAAGGTAGTTCAACTTCCTGGAGAGTATCAGCTGTGAAGAATAAAGAGTTTAAGACTAAATTGTAATTAATATACTATATATATATATATATATATATATATATATATATATATACGATTAACATGACAGCCATGCGATAT